ACAGGTGTCAGGCTTGTCCTAATGCTTGGTTCACCCAGAGTCACTGAAAAGAGTTTTTTAGTTTATAGAAAGAAACTTCCCCAACACTGCTCTCAAGTTCCCTGGAGGACTTGTGGCTTCCCCCCAACTCATATGGTGTACTTCTCTTGGAGAGCCTGACCCTTGTTGGTGACTGGGAATAGGAGGGGGGCTTTCTATACCCTAATGAGGCCTAGCCACTCACCAGAAATTAACACAGAATCTCTGCTGGAGAGGGCATAATAATCATCTCCATGGGACAGTCATAATGCTTTTGCAACTAGTACAAGAGCATCTGTTTCAGGAATTTGCCTGTGGGTTTATTTATATGTATTTTTATAATTCTATGTTTTGATTTGCATAAACTACTAATAATCACCAGTATAGCTTGCTATTTGTACTGTCCCTAGTCTCTGGGATGTTCTCTTGGATAGAAATCAGGAAGTCTCTCTCAGAACTAAGCTAGCTATGTGTCCTGAGGCAATTTGGTCAATTCCGTAGTCTGTGAAACCACAGAGCTCATCTCCTGTGCTCTCAGAAGCCCCTTGCAGCATGAACAGTCTGTGATTCTTTCCTCCCTATTTTTAAATATGCAAATGAAATCCTGTTGGGGTGAAATGAAGCAAAACTCATGTTAGTTTATTAATGTTAAAAAACAAATGCCCAGTACAAGTGAAGGGTAAAGTGTTTTAATGTACAAACAAGGTCTTTGGTTTACCACTGGGCCTGATTTATTCAATACTTCACAAATGGAACTTCCCTGTCTGTCCTGTGTTAGGAATCCAGAGGCTGGAGCCAATCATAAGACTGCCAGGGCCCCAGTCCAAGCTTGGTTCCTCCGTCCAAATTGAGGCACCAGATCAAAGCTCTGGTTCCAGAACCAAATGAGGTAGCACTACCCATGGGCTCCTCTTTCCCCTTCCACTCCTCCTCTAACTCTGACAACAACATTCTGGAATAGATTTATTACATGCCCCTGGCTCTGTAGGTGTGAAATAATTATAACAGGAGAAGTTGCTGTTCCTGCAACAGGCTGAGTTAGACAATGACTCATTTTAAGACAAAATATGTAAACTAAGAGTGGTGGCCAAAGCTGATTCAGATGGAAAAATGTTTGTATTAGATGCTTCTGTGCAGTGATGGCTGTGGTCAGAGTGGTCACTTTGCTTGCAGGGAGCTCCAGGAGAGCTTTTCTGAGATGATCATCTGAGTGAACACTTGTGATTACTCAGAGCTGGGGACCTGGTTCTCTTCATGCCTCCCCCCACTCAGTTATGCCTACAGTCCATGAGATAGGTGCTCTCTGATTTATAAATGAGGAAATGGAGGCTCAGAAATCAAGCCACAAACATGGGGTTAAACTTAGATATGGCCAATTTGTGCACCTGCTGTCAGGCCCCTTTCTCTCTGTACCGAGGACAGAATCTGCTTGGAGAGTGGGAGAACTCTCCTCACCCTGAGTGCAGCCTGGACAACTCACAGCCTCACTGTGTTGTGTTTGGGGAGTCAGGGGTTACTTATTCTCTTCACTCAGTCTGGAGACCAGATAGAAAATTTCATAGGCTAGTAATTGGCATACAGCCAGAAATGCAAAATGAACCTCCATCCCGTGTCCCAAAGGCGGTAAAAAATTTATCTGTTTCAATTAGATCATTTGAAAAATGAAGCTTAGGGATCAAACACAATTATGATGGCCATATCAATGTGAGCCACAGCCCCAGAGGGTGAAAAACGCCCGAGGATTTAGTCTGCTTAGATATTTACCCTCTGGGAAATAACGAGTCATGTTCCAGTGTGATTGATATCAGAACCAGGAGATACCAGAGATGGAAATAATCCTTAAGAGTATGGAGATAGCATCATACTTGATAGACTGAAAGCCTGAAAACTGAAGCCTGAAGAGAGGCAGGATGCCACCAGGGAGGCAGACAGACCCAGAGCCTGTCATTCCCTGCCAGTGTATTGTGCTGCCCTCAACCTCCCGGTCCCCTTAGTCATTGAAATAACCACTTTTCACAAAGAGCTGACTCCTGGTTGGATATGAAAAGGGTATCCTGCTGGGATTTTCTTCARAGGTGGAGCAACATTGTCAGAGAAAAGGACAACTGCCAGCCAGCTTCACATACTTTACAGTCCTCTGATCCTCTGTAGAAGTCAGAGCATGAAACGGTCCTGGGGAGGGAAGTCTGGGAGCTGTGTGTGTGGTGTTTGTAGTAATGAAATTTTGTTGAAGAGTTTTCTATGATTGGATGGTGAGATTCTTCGATTTTCTCCTTTCTGTTTCTTTTTTTTCCTCCTCCTCCCCATGGAGTAGTGAAAGAGTGAATCAAAGGTTTGTAGTTAGTTTMTTTCAACTTAAGGAAGGAGAGTACCAGCAGTATAATACGAGTCTATAATTCTGTTCATTTGGCTTTCGCTTCTGAATCCTGTGCCTAAAAGTGCCTGGACAGGGCCATTAAGGTTTCCACAGAGGCAAGTTCAGTATCTTGGGTGCTCACAAAAGGAAAGAGACCAGGGATCTCCTTTGGGACCCTCAGAAGACTGCTGCTCAGACCTCTGGGTCTTTGAATCAGATCCCACTTCATCCTTGTACTTCACTTTTTAACATTTCTTGCCAGAACTGAGTCGGCACTATGCAGCCTCGTGGGCAGAGTAGTTGACCCTGTTTCTTCCCCTCACTCCCAGTTTTTGCGGATGAAGTTTCAGGCATCCTTATTAAGTCACCTGCCCAAAGAGGGAAGGCTTTCCTATTGACATTGTAAGGTCTATTAAAAAAATAAACTTTTCCTATTTATATCCATTTAATTTCTTTCTTCTGTCTAATTGCTCTGGCTAGAGTTTCAAGAACTATGTTGGAAAGAAGTGGTGAAAGAGGGCATCCCTGTCTAGTTCCAGTTTTTTGAGGGAATGCTTTCAATTTTTCTCCATTTAGAATGATGTTGTCTGTGGGTTTAGCATAGATAGATTTTACAATGTTAAGGTATGTTCCTACTATCTCTGATTTTTCTATTGGTGAGGATGTGGGAGAAAGGGTATACTCATGCATTGCTGGCAGGACTGCAAATTGGTGCAACCACACTTAGAAAAAAGCAGTTTTCTAAGGAGATACCTCAGAAAACTTAGAATAGAATCACCATTTGACCTAGTTATGCTACTCCTCAGCATATACTCAAAGGACTTAAAATCAGCATACTGTAGTGAAGGGGCCACATCAATGTTTACAGCAGCTCAATTCACAACAGTCAAGCTATGGAACCAACCTGGGTGCTCTTCAACAGATGAATGGATAAAGAAAATGTGGTATTTATACACAATGGAATGTTATTCAGCCATAAAGAAGAATGAAATTATGGCATTTGCCAGTAAATGGATGTAATTGGAGACTATCATGCTTAGTGAAATAAGTCAATTCCAAAAAACTGAAGGCCATATGTTCTCTGTACTATATGGATGCTAACTCATAATGGCAGAATGTTGWGAGAGAGAGGAATCACTGGRTTAGACAAAAGGGAATGGAGGGTAATGGGAATAGGAAAAATAGTAGAATAAATAGGACATAGCTTTCCTATGTTTATAAATGAATACACGACCAGTGTAACTCYACACCATGTACAACCACAAGAATGGGAAATTATACCCCATGTATGTATAACATGTCAAAATACATTCTACTGTCATGTATAACTAAAAATAACTACAAAAAAAAACCTGTCACTTCAATGCAGAACTCTGCATTAGGGGGAAAAAAAGTTTGGGARATTCTATGTTTTGATCTTTGGCAATTCCTTTCATATGCCGTGTTAGTCATTCTTTACTCCAGAACTTGTTGTGGAGACCCCCAAGGGAGCTCTTTTCACAGTTAATGGAAATCTGTTGGGAGGCTGCCCCTCCCTACCTCTCCTCCAGCTGGGTATAGTTCTGTGTCCCCACACTTCCTTTACTGCCTTGGCTCCAGCATGTGCTTGTGATGTCTGTAGAGTTGAATCAAGTGGATGAGAAAAGATGCCCATGTGCCAGCTGGTGGCTGAGGTGGGGAGGGGAATCCCTGAACCTCCGGACAATAGTGGGTGCATTTCCACATTTCTGCCTCTTTTTAGAAACCTGCCATGGAAAAGATAGGCTTATGGGGCTTAGAGACCTCAGTGACACTGAAATCAAAGTCTGCTCTGCTCACTGTTTGGCAAAACACCTCTCCTTCCCCTTCATCTAGCTCCAGGTTCTCCTTGGTATTCTAGTGCCAACTTATTTGCAGAGAACCTTCTGCATACTGACTTCACAAATTTAGCAGAACTTCGATAGCAGATCAATTAAGAAGTAGAGCTCTTTTTTTTTTTTTAAATATTTGCCGTTGAACACAGCTATGCTTTACTACCGAGCTACATCCCCAGCCCTTTGTTATTTGAGACAGGCTCTTCTTAAGTTKCCCAGGTTGAATTTGCCTCAGCCTCCTGAGTAGATGAAATTACAGGCATGCACCATTGCACCCAGCTGAGCTCTCAACTTTTAAAGAAGATTTTGTGTGTGGTTCCTTCACGCCTTTTCCATCCTTAATAGCTCTTCGCCTTCAGCATGTTGAGAATAATTTATTTATGAAGTATTAGGTTTAATCACAAATGTTCTATGGTACTCCTGTTGGGCCAGAAGAGATGTATCAATAACCGAGATGTCGGGATGGCTTTGCAATGTGATCTGGGGATCAGGAGAGTAAGCTGGTGTCAGGCCCCTCCCAGCCTGGGAAGAACTCATTTTGGCCTCTGTTTCCTTTCTTGGCAAGACTGTGGGTTGACAGAGTGACCTCTTAGACTCTTGAAAGCACAGGCTCTGTGCAGTGGACAGGCCCAGCCTTCAGCACTGCCTTTGCTGGCCAAGCCAAGAAGGGCCCTTCTTACTCTCCTCTCCAGTTCCTGAGGGTTTGCCTTTGGCCTGCTCCCTGCAGCACAGCACCCCCAGTGCACTATCTAAACCTCTTCTTCTCCCCATAGCCAGCATGCCCACCAGTGAGACCGAATCCGTGAACACTGAGAACGTAAGTGGCGAAGGCGAGACCCAGGGCTGCTGTGGAAGTCTCTGGTGAGTGTGGAGGCTGCTCTCCCTCCTAGCCCTCATGGATCTTAAAGAAGCTAATGTTGAGGAGCACCCCAGATTGCAGTGGAGTCCCAGGGATGTGGCCTTAGGTACAGAAGGGCGGTGGGCTCCCTCTGGCCCCTCAGCGCCCTTCCTCTTGTGCCAGGTCCCCTGGGGTGCCCAGCAGTCCACAGTCCTCTTCCTAAGTAAGAAGCAGTTCCTGCTGAGGTGGAGCTGAGGACTGTGCCAGTTAACCCGGCCACCTGCTGTGTTCATTAGGTGCTGGTGGAAAAGAAGAGGCACGGCCAAGACGGGGCCCTCTGGGTGCCGGCGGTGGGGGTAAAGGCTGAATTCTCCTTCCCATTGGGTTTGGCATCTGTGCTTTGGAGGAAGAGCTTGAATGGCAGTTGCTAACTAGAAAGTGCCACCTTTTAAAAATTTTTCTTCATGCATGGGGCCTTCTCAACCTCATGCCTACTGACCAGATGAGGAAACCCTGCTCTCCTCTGCTGGTGGCACCTGTTTTGAGAAGCCTGCACCACCCTCTCCTAACCATGGAGGAAGCCATCCCATAACACCCACTGGCTTCCTTCTAGATGATTTGGGCTGCAGCAGTGGGAAGGGTGGGGTCTGGCATTGCGGAATGGGCCAAGAACTACCTGCTTTGGGGAATCCTGTGCTGTTTTGTCTTGTTTGCTTCCTGTTAGTGTCCTTTAGGTCTTGTCTATAAGAGAACTTAGTCTTGTTCTTGGCAGAGTTTCATGAAAATGATGTTATGGCAGTGTATGCAACAGTTCATGAAGTGATTTTTTTTTTTTTTTTGGCCTCTGTTCTGCTCTGCCCTACCTATGACATTGTGAAGTAGGCAGGGAATGGGTTTGTTTCTTCTCCCATTTTACAGAAGAGAACAGTGAGGCTCAAAAAGGCATGCTGCTCTGGTGTTCACCCAGTTGTGAATAACAGAGCTACGACCCCTTGTCTGTTGCTCCTTTTCCCACGAATTCTGTTGTTGAGATGAGGGGCTGGGTTACAGGCCTTAGAGGCCTTGCTAGCCTCAGCTTGGAGTGGCAAGAGAAGGACTCCTGGAGTCAATGCCTGTTGCCATGTCTTCTCAGGGAATTCAGCTAAGAGTCTTCTCTTGCCTGGGGTCTTTGAGGTGCTCAACCTGCCTGCCTGGCACTGGTAGCACCTTGATTTCTGCTGTACTCTTAACCCAGCTGACCTGCTGTGGCTACCGGGGGTGCTAAATCCAGGCTTACATGCATGGCTTTTTACCATATCACTGCTGAAGCAATAAGGGAGCATGTGTTCACGTCTTTCAAGTGGAAATCTTAACACCTTTGTCTTTTCTTTCAGCCAAGCCATCTCAAAATCCAAACTCAGGTCAGTATCTTCATTCTGCTCCCCCCCCATTGGCCTGTGCATTGGTTTTGATGTTTTACTATTATGTTTTAAATTCAGACTTTTACGTGGAATTGCTCTACACTTGAATTTTACTCCATGGGTGTTGACATTGATACTGAATTTCAGTCAGTCCATTACACATCACAGACCTGTCTTGGGGAGCGGTATAGCAGGAACAACTGCTACAAACCAATGGGACATAATAATGGACAGATTTTTGCCTCCCAATCAATACTTCAGTCATGTCTCTAAGAGATGTTTCTTGTTACTTTTCAACTAGACCCCCCCCCACCAATACACAAAAGCTTTCCACAGAAGAGCATTCAAGAAGTCTTGTAAGATACTAGTGATATTCAGTTTCTTGATCTGGATGCAGGATACGTGTTCAGTTGATAGTGATCATTGAATTATATGCCTGATATTTGTGTACTTTTTCATATAAGAGTTATTTTTCAATTAAAAACATCTTTCTGCTGTGTGCAGTATACATAGAACTAGATACAAACCTGAAACTATAAAAATTCTAGAAGAAAGCAGAAGAAAATTCTTTATGACTTTGGGTTAGGCAAAGATTTCTTAAGATGTAATAATGTAGGATCTATAACAGGAAAATTTGATAAATTGGTCCTTGTAAATATTAAAACTTCTGCTTCTGTGAGCATGTATGTGGAGCTGGGGATTGAACTTAGAGGCACTCTTCCACTGAGGTACATTCCAAGGCCTTTTAAAAACATTTTTGAGACAGGGTGTAGCTAAGTTACTGAGGCTGGCCCAAACTTGTGATCTTCCTGAGTTGCTGGATTACGGGCATATGCCACTGTGCCTGGCCCAAAACTTCTGCCTTTATTGTTTTCTTAATAAATAAAGACAAACTGAAAACTTGGATAAAAATGTTTGCAAAACATATGCAAATCATATATGATAAATCTGTACATAAATGATTAATGTAAAGATAATAAGCAGTAGTGTCCATAATAAGAAAACAACTCAATAAAAAACGGCAGAAAGTTTTATAGGCGTGTCACCAAAAAGAGATGCGGATGAAATGTCCATCAATCATTGGAAAAAAGGAATATTAAAATCACAATTAGAGACCACTACATGTATGTAAGAGTAGGTCAGATTTAAATGTCTGACAATACCACWTTCTGACAAGGATGCTGATTAATGGGTATTTCTGTATAATATTGGTGGTCATGTTGAATGACAGCTCTTTCTCTCTCTTTTTAATGACAGCCTAGGGTTGCAGTTCAGTGGTAGAGTGCTGTCTAACATGTACAAAGCCCTGGTTTCAATTACCAGTATGCCCACCCCACCCCCCAAATTTAGTGATTTAGTAGTTTCTCTTTTTGCTGACCTAACAATTCTACTTATAAGGTATTTATATAAGAGAAATGATGATATATGCCTGCTCAAAAGAGTTTACATAAATATGTATAGTCGCTTTATTCATAAGTACTCTAAACTGGAAGTAACCCAAATGTCCATCAAATGGTGAGTGGGTAGACAAATGGAGGTGTGTCCATATGGTGTAATACTGCTTAGCAACAAGAAGAAAAAAAATGATACACGTAACAACATGGATGAATCTCTAAAGAATTTTTCTTTCCCTGTGTGAGAGAAGCTGGTCTCAAAAGGCTACACAAAGGCTGACTCTTTATATGACATTATGGATGAAACAAAATTCTGATGACAGAAACCAGAGCATAGTCATCAGGCAAGGAATAAGGTTGGTGGAATTGACTGCTCAAAGCTGTGAAGGAACTTTTTGGGGGATGGAGATTGTCACTTCTTTACTCTGTGTACCTAAAAAGAGTAAGCCTTACTATATGGAGATTACATCTCAAACCTGACTTTAAGGGAAAAAAATAAAAAGCTCTTTCATGGTTCTCTGTTATTACAGGGCATGGAAAGGCCTTCATCATTTTGCTCCTGGCTCACCTTCTGCCTCAATTTGTGACAAACCTCCCATATTCCCCATTTGTAGAACGCTGGAATGTTCTCAGGGTTTTTTTTAATATACATATTTTTTAGTTGTAGTGGACACAATACCTTTATTTTATTTATTTTATGTGGTGCTAAGGATCGAACCCAGTGCCTCACACGTATGAGCCTCTGTTCTCAGTTTTTAAAGGTGCCACTGTTTCTACCCCTTAAATGCAGTCTCCTCTGGGTAAATTGCCCTTCTACCTGCTTTCGGCATTATTCTCATTCATCTAAAGATCCAGCCCAAATCTCTGCTTTTCAGAAGATTCTTTCCTGACTTCTCCAATAAACAATTGTATCTCCCTTCTCCTGACCAGTATTCTGTCTGAGACTAGCACTTGGCATGGATTTGTAATTGTCATTTACTTCAACCCTGAGTGCTTTCCAGGGACAATGCCTTCTTTATTTCCATCTGCCCAGCACTGGGCACATAGCGCTCAGGAACTCTGGTCTGAGAGGACATACAAGGCCACCAAGGTGTTCAGAGCCCAGTGAGGGGCAAGATGTAGATGTTACAGGTTTTCAGGTCTCCTAGATGTGGGACATCCTTGGGTCCTGTCACCCTAGCACAGGATGGACCCATCAAGGCTGAGTCTTTTCAGGCTACCTTGCTTATGTGTGCTGAATTACATATCTCAGGAGAACCCAGCTGTGCGTGGGTAGAGTCGTGTCCTTGGAACTTTTTCTGTGAGGGCTGTTGTGTTTCTTTAACTAGAAACTGCACATCGAGAGCAATAACAAAAACACCTTGCTTGACCCAGGTCTTGGTAAAGAGGTAGCACAATTCCTCCTTTGCTCACTTCCTGGGTCACGTTTTTTAAATGTCGTAATCCAGCTGAGTCAGCCAGCGCTGCCTCTTGAAGGTGAATATTCCTCTTTAGTCAGGACCCTAGAGGAAGTGTCCCCATCCCTGTCAGGGAGGCAACTTGGCCCACAGAGCAGGGACTTTGTCACTGAGCTGATTCTTCCCTGGAATCCAGGTCACTGAGCAGTAGTCCATGGTACACTTCACCAACTACCCCCTTGTGGCAGATAATATTTTCTGGAAAGAGACAGGTTAAGGGAGAGAATATTTTCCCTAATTACAAACAGGGAACTGAAGGTGGGTGGAGGGCATACTACTTTGTCTTTTAGGCTCAGCTCATTTTATTTTTATGAAAACACAACTCAATATTGGCTCTTCTTCTAAAGGTTTATTTTGAGCATCACTAGTTAGAAAGGGCACCTGATGACTCAGTATTAAGACTCATGTCCTCCTTGGCTTTGACAACCACCAGGTTCCAGAGGAACCCCAAAGATTTATGAAAGAATTTAAAGCTTCCCTAAAAAGAAAACTATTATTTTGGAGAACTTGGTTGCTTGATAAATTCTGTATGATGATTGAGAGGCTGTGAGCAGTGTATGTAGTAAGTGGCTGTCTGCACCCATACCAATAGATCCACACACCATCTGGGTTTATGAACTGCATATGTGTTCAGGTGCGGTGATGCGTCTACATGTGGATCTATGAATATCTAGATTTTTTTACTCATTTGATGACTACATATGACAGATCCTGAAGTTATTTATAACCACAAAAGGGAAACCAAGCATAATCAAGTCAAGATTATACTTTTAAAAGTTGTATGTTAAGACCAATATTTATATTATGAAGTTTGCTCATTTTTATGCCATTTTTTCACTTTTTTTCCCCTTCCTGAACCCCCAACCCAATCTGAGCCTCTAGAGTGAAAGCCAGATTCTTTCTCCACGAGGTTTATTGGACTTGCAGATGCCATATCTGTCATCTCAGGAGTAATGTTTGCTTATCTTTCAGCCGACGCTGGCGTCGCTGGAACCGATTCAATCGCAGAAGATGTAGAGCTGCCGTGAAGTCTGTCACGTTTTATTGGCTGGTTATTGTCCTGGTGTTTCTCAACACATTAACCATTTCCTCTGAACACTACAATCAGCCAGACTGGTTGACGCAGATTCAAGGTATGAGTGGAAGCTGTGCTCTTTTTGTTCCAAGTTAGAGATTCTTGTGGCTAACGGCTATTAGTATTATCTGATCAATAATAATACTAAACAGTTTAGTATTAGTAATGAAGTATTGTATCTACTGAGGGCTATTTTGGGAAAACAGTCCAAATGCAGGCAATCCCATAGTACCTTGGAGCTGATTCATGCTGAGCATCTCCTTGTCCTAGCACTGAGACAACCTAGGATCCAGGAATCTTGGAGTTGGAAGGACCTTCAACCTGCCCCTTTTGGAAGCTTTATTTTAATTTAATTTTATTTATTTTATTGAAAGCTTAATTTTATCTATTGGAAGCTTTATTTTTGGCAGATGCTTTTGGTTTTCCTCCTTCAAACGTCCAGAAATGGGGGTTGGGGAGTTGAAGGTCATCCCCAAAGCCAGCCCAGTCTGAGCTTGACAGTTTTGAGATCTTAAGAAATCCTCCCTTACATCTGTTTCCTCTACCTCTTAAGTCTGTTTAGCAGTATTTCCTGCTGTTAAAAATGACATTGGTAGGCGACCACTTCTGATATCAGTGACGTAAACCAGACTAGACAGGTTTCATGTTTGGGTGCCATGGAAAGGGAAAAAACATCCATTATTGAGACCCACATTTTAAAAATACTTGCAGAATCATGAATTTTTAGTGCAAGAGAGCTCTAGAGATTGTGTGATAAGCTGCCTCTACCCGTTTTATAATTGGTGGAACTGAGGCCCAGAGAATCAAATAACCATTCCATATTTGCACATCTAGTTAGTAGCAGTACCACTACCAGAACTCAGCAGAGAACAGACTATCATTAATGCCATATTTTTGTCGTGTATAATAAAAGAGAAAGCATTGGTGTGTTTCCTATGGGGACTGATGGGAAGGAGGTACCAGGAGAAGAGGAGCTGGATGGAGCCTCTCTCACACGAGGTCTTGAGGATGCGTGCCTTCTGTCTTTCCAGATATCGCTAACAAAGTCCTCCTGGCTCTGTTCACCTGTGAGATGTTGGTAAAAATGTACAGCTTGGGTCTCCAGGCATATTTTGTCTCTCTCTTCAACCGGTTTGATTGCTTTGTGGTGTGTGGCGGAATTACTGAGACCATCTTAGTGGAACTGGAAATCATGTCCCCTCTGGGGATCTCTGTGTTCCGGTGTGTGCGCCTCTTGAGAATCTTCAAAGTGACCAGGTAAGGAAGTGTGTGTGTATTGCCACAGGTGTTTTCTCAGTAAGAGGTGGCCATCAGTCCAGTCTYTGGTTAGAGGATGTTCTGCTCTGTCCTACAGAGCTCTGGGCTCACACCCTCATCTTGACTTGTAGGCATTGGACCTCTCTGAGCAACTTGGTGGCGTCCTTGTTAAACTCCATGAAGTCTATTGCTTCATTGTTGCTTCTGCTCTTTCTCTTCATTATCATCTTTTCCTTGCTTGGGATGCAGCTGTTTGGAGGCAAGTTTAATTTCGATGAAACGCAAACCAAGCGAAGCACCTTCGACAACTTTCCCCAAGCCCTTCTGACAGTATTTCAGGTGAGTCCTTCCTTTTGCCCTCCTCCTGTCCCAGAAAAACACACTGTAAGCAACAGCTAAACCCCAGCCTTCTTGTTGGCTTACAGCTCAGGAAGATAAAAATATTCCATTTTTTATTAGTAATCTTGGACCTCATGATACCTGGTAAATTTTATGCCCTACAAGTTGTTTGTTTGCATCATCCTCCAGATGTTGATTGAGGGGACTTATGGAATCTTGTTTTTTTAAGACCTCTAGCTATGTTTCAAAATAATAAACCCTAAATCCTCTTGTGCTGATTTTGATCACTTCCAAGTTTAAAACTCTAGTTATAATAGATTGATGTGAAGAAATAAATTTGGAAGCCTGGATATTTTCGTGTAGAGTTGAGTAGTGGTGGCCTTCTGCCCTCTTCTGTCCTGCCACTGTGATGCGAGGACACAGGCTCTGAGGATGGCTGTCCTGTCAGGGCTTCTRTGGGCACTGGGCTGGATGGCAGTGATCATCTCAGAGGGGCACAGATGGCTCTGCCTCTTAAGGAGCAGCATGCCCTCCCCCTTCCTGACTGCGAGCTGGGGGTCTGAGCCCTCTCCACGTGCCCAGAGCTGAACCCCTTCCTTGGACAGAGCCTGACAGATGTGTTTAGAACTCCCATGCACCCTGGTTGCTTTTCATCCAAGCCCTGCTAGATACACGGGTGTTTGGAGGAAGGGCACGAAACAGATAGGTCCCAGGGTGGCTCTTTCTGTGCCTAGCTTGATGACCTTGGATGAGTCACTTACTCTTTTCTGAAGAAACACAGAGACTAGAGGGAATGATCTGTAAGATTCTTTCTCAGTTATTTAAGATGTATGCACTTTGATATATCACCCATAGATGGGATATAATTACTCATTTTTCTGAGCATACATGTTGCAGAATCATATTGGTCATGTAGTCACATATACACATACAGTAATAATGTCTGTTTCATTCTACTATCTTTCCTACCACACATTCCCTCCTCTTCCCTCCCAACACATTCCTCTACATAATCTAAGGTAATGCTGTTCTTTCCTAGTGCTCCCCGCCTTATTGTGAATTAGCATCTGCATATCGGAGAAATCATTTGGCCTTTGGTTTTTGTGGGATTGGCCTATTTCACTTAGCATGATATTCTCCAGCTCCAACCACTTACTGGCAAATTCCATAATTTCATTCTTCTTTAAAGCTGAGTAATATTCCATTGAGTATATACACCACATTTTCTTTATACATTCATCTATTGAGGGACATCTGGGTTGGTTCCGTATTCTAGTTCTTGTGAATTGAGCTTCTGTAAACACTGATGTGGCTGCATCACTGTAGCATGCCGATTTTAAGTCCTTTGGGTATAAACCAAGGAGTGGGATAGCTGGGTCAAATGATGGTTCCATTCCCAGTTTTCTGAGGAATCTCCATACTGCTTTCCATAGGGGTTGCATCAATTTGAAGTCCAACCAGCAATGTATGGGTGTACCTTTTTCCCACATCCTCACCAACATTTATTGTTGCCTGTATTCTTGATGATTGCCATTCTGATAGGAGTGAGATGAAATCTTAGAGTAGTTTTGATTTGCATTTCTCTAATTGCTAAAGATGTTGAACACTTTTTCATATATTTGTTGATCAATTGTATTTCTTCTGTGAAGTGCCTATTCAGTTCCTTGGCCCACTTATTGATTGGGTTATTTATTGGAGGTGCATGTGCTAAAGATTTTCTACCAATCTATAGGCTCTCTCCTCACTTTATTATTTCCTTTGCTGAGAAAAAGGTTTTAAATTTGAATCCATCCAATTTATTCTTGATTTTTACTTCTTGTACTTAAAACAAATAAAAAAAACTAAAAAAAATAAAGACAAAAAATGCATGGAATTATCATATGGACCCTGTTTTTTTATTTTATTTTATTTTTTTTAAAGAGAGAGTGAGAGAGGAGAGAGAGAGAGAGAGAATTTTTTTAATAATTATTATTTTTTAGTTCTCGGCGGACACAACATCCTTGTTGGTATGTGGTGCTGAGGATCGAACCTGGGCCGCACGCATGCCAGGCGAGCACGCTACCGCTTGAGCCACATCCCCAGCCCCTGGACCCTGTTTTTTTTAAAAAAATTATTCTTAAATTTTGCTGGTCAGAATGACTACTGGTCAATTATTCTTTTCTCTAATTTCTTTCAGAGGAACCCGTGTCTTCCCCCGCCCCCCTTTATTTAAAGCATGCATATGGCATAAAATTCAAGTGTTATAAACCAAAATAGCATGACAGTTCTCCCACTGGTCACTAATTTCTTATTCTAGGAGGCAACTACCATTAAATAGCTTCTTGTAATTCTTAGACATGTATTTGCTCAAAGACACAAATCAAACTATCTGCCTACCTAGGGGTGAATCTACACAGATGGTCACTCACTCTACAGACTGTTTGGCATTTTTAAAATCACAGTGTCCTCAAGAGCCTTTCTGCTTGGTGTATAAAAGGTCACCTCCTCTTTTTAAATTCAGCATAATTCTGTGGTGTGGATTGCCATACATTATGAAGACAGTCACTTGCAGATGAATATTTAGTGTGTTCAGTCTTGGCTCATGTAAACAGGGCTCTAGTGGGTGGCCTTGAACAACCAGGACACAAGGGGCACATGTGAGAATAGATGTGTAGGACAAATTCCCAAAAGTGGGATTGCTAGTTTATAGGGTGTGACTATTTTAAACTTTGATACCTTTGACAAAGTGCTCTCATTATAATTGTAAAGAGAGCAATGTGGAGACTACCCATTGCCTGCTCCTTTTCACCACAGTTGGTATTCATGCTTTGATTGTCACCTAACAGATGAAAATGGTACCTCATTGTAATTTTATCAGGCGTTAAGTTGACCATCTTTTCATAAGAACCATTTATAGTTCTTTTTCTGTGAATTTATCTTATCATTTGCCACTTTTGTGGTTTGATTTTGATCTGCAACAGTTTGAATTTTTACAATATCTAGTTCAAATAGAAAATACAGAAGTTCTCTCTCACTGGAAGATTGCATTTAAAAAAATCACTGTCCATATTCATCTGATTCAATTTTGGAAGGGACTGTATTATGAAGTATCATTAGAAGCGAAGATAAATTTTAAATTTCAGGTGGTTGATTGTATTTTCCCTTGAGATCATTAGTAGACTTATAGGAGACATTTAGAATTCCCCACTTATAAAAACTCATAGATTTGATTTTTTTTCATTTCCATATTTGATTAACTGTGGAATGCTATGCAGAGGTTACAAAGAATGATGTTAATTTATTAATATAGAGAGTCTTCAGGAAATAATGTTGAATGGTTTAAAAAAAGAAAAGGCCAGTTTCAGAAAAATTCATATAACATAGTACCCTTTATGTCTAAAAAAAAAAAAAAAGTCAAAAAAGACACCAATTGGCTCCTTTTTCTGGGTGTGAGTATGTGTATTTAAATTCATAGACAACGTTCCTGGAGGGACAACACCAATATCATACTCTCTGGGGAGAGGATGAAAAACTGGTCTGAGGTATAATAAAAAAAAAGTCTATATATCCTGTATGTAAAGATTTTTTTCATCTGAAGTATTGACTCATGTATTTGTGTCATTAAAAATCATGTTTGGAAAATTCTATGGGATAACAGATGGATTTATCATGCAACCTGGACTGTGGAAGACGGCTTACCCCAGATTTAAGCAGCCTCCAAGGAGCTCTGGGGGAGCAAGATGGGTCTTGCATCTCCTGCTCTCTCACTCTGCTTCTGGCTTCCTAGATTCTGACAGGCGAGGACTGGAATGCTGTGATGTACGACGGCATCATGGCTTATGGAGGCCCGTCATCCTCAGGAATGATCGTCTGCATCTATTTCATCATCCTCTTCATCTGTGGTAACTGTATCCTTCAGCCCCCCCCCCCCCCAGGGCTGTGTTGTTGTTGTCATTGGCTTGTTTTTTTGTTTTTTTCTCCCTGAATTTCCTGTGGCACTGGTGGTGGCCACACCTGTGGTGGGGAGGTATGTGTCTTCACCTTGTTGGCTCTCTGTGGTCCTCTGTGTCACTGGGGGATGGCACAGTGCAAGCAGAGTTCCAGAGAGGCTGTGAGGAATGCAGCTGGCTGAGCCAAGCCTTTCTAGAGGGAGAGGGCACATGTGCTGGTGCCAGGCCATCAGGCTGGGAGGCATGTTTCCCATACAAGTCTCAGGGGGTGGCCTAGGGCAAGCCAGGTGGTTCCCTGTGCTGTTATCCTTGGGAGGTTAGTGCTGTATCTCTCTCAAGATATTAAGACCTTCATGACGAAGAGTGGGGGCATCTTTCATGGCTTGAYCTGTGCTGCCCTGAACCTAATCTTATTTTGCTGACCTATGCATCTTTGGGTCTCATGTGTTCATTGGCTGACTTCTCTCGCATGCATATACATATAAGTATTTTTTTAGTTGTAATTGGTCACAATACCTTTGTTTTATTTTTATGTGGTGCTGAGACAAACCCAGCTCCTCGCACATGCTAGGCAAGCGCTCTACCACTGAACCACAACCCCAGCACCCCCACCCCATGTAACTTTTTTTTTTTTTTTTTTTTTTTTTACTCATTTCACTCCTCTTCCCTGCCAAAAGGCAATCTCTTAAGACTTCTGAAATTGGCCCTCAGGTTATTTATGCAGACCCTCTAATCTTGGGCTGTGTCTATTTTATCTCTAGGTCCTAGCACAAAACTTGGCACACAGAAGCCCTCAGAAATATGTTGTGAGAATTGARCAATTGAACAACATAAGAATACCATCTCTTTAACCTTCACCCTTCCAATTTAAGAATCCTAACCTGGATTCTTCTCCTAAGGAGATCCTGATCCTGYTAGCTGTTTCACCTTTAATCTTCTTTGGCTCACTGATGAATTTTCTTCAGTGTTGAAACCCTAGTGCAAACTTTTCCTGTATTCCTCAGGGACAATGTTTTAAACTATGAGGGTTCTATTTTTAAAAATCTCATTTCAGCATATATACATTCTGCTAGTCCCTGACTCAATCCTAACATCCCTCCTCCAGGGAACCACCTCTGCCTTGTCTCCTGCCCAGAGATGAGCTCATCCACCTCTAAAGCTTCCATCAGATTGTGTTTGTTTCTCCCTGTGTGCAGRGTCTGCCGCTACTGAAATTGGGGTGGGCACTCCTCCATCTTCCTAACTGGATGACAGCTCCTTGAGTCAGGAATCATCTTTTCTGTATTTGCATTTCTCACTATCAGGACCTTGTGCTTAGTTGGCCTTTGGTAAATGTTTGTTACATGAATGGTCAATATTTTCTTTGTCTGCTCCCCTCATGATTTGCTCTTAAGGTCACAGCAGAATACCAGATTTGAGCCTAAAGAGAAGTATTCCCTGGCTCTACTTCTCTCTGATTCCATGTTGATGTTTTAAGAGTTGTTCATAGGGCTGGGGATGCRGCTCAAGCGGTAGCGCGCTCGCCTGGCATGCGTGCGGCCCGGGTTCGATCCTCAGCACCACATACCAGCAAAGATGTTGTGTCCACTGAGAACTAAAAAAATAAATAAATATAAAAAAAAGAGTTGTTCATAAACTGGGCACATGAACAGCTGGATGGATGCTTATAATCTCAGCTACTCAGGAGGCAGAGGCAAGGATCACAAATTTGCAGCCAGCCTCAGCAACTTAGAACCTGTCTCAAAATAAAATAAAGGGTTGGGGATATTGCTCTGTGGTAGTACTTGCCCTATCATGTACAAGACCCTGGGTTCAATTGATAAATGTTTTACTAGTTTGAGGGAAAAAAAATGTTCATGTTTTCTGTCCCCAACTAGAATAGATGCTCCATTTTGTCATATTTCTGCCCATGTTCTGGGTATCCATAGCATGGCTTGGAATGTCAGGTGCTTGGTAAGTCTTTTTGAATGAATTTCAGAGCACACCACTCTTTACGAGGATCTGGGTAATGTCTTTAAATGCAGATGATGGGTTTTTACTCCTGGAAACCATCTATTACTAGCTTGTAAGACCTTGCTGTGGTTTATTAGTCAAGATTTGCTTTCTGCTCCCCAAAAGAGCTTAGTGTTGTAAGGCTAGAGAGGTGATTCTTTTTTCATTGGGGTYATTGAGAGAAATCCCCAATATAACTATTCCCAGCACTAACTCCTTCCAAACCAGCCTCGATCCATGCCCATCGGAGGAGTTTCTAAGCACATGTTTCCGAGATGCCTCCAGCCCAGGACAAATCGCTTCCTCAGGCTCATTGTAGTGCCAGTTAAAAAAAATAGACTAACATTTCAAAGGCATTTTCAAAGTCTTAATATAATTCACTCATGTTCCTATCCTCTTTAAAGCCTTGAATAGAATTAGTCAAGCATGATATCCCCTCACAGAGATCTCATCATCAGTCCCTTGTTAGGTTATGTTGGTTTATGTGTTCAGCAACCCAGATGAGATTTCAGATTGCACAGGCAGTGGTGTGCTGCTGCTCTCTCAGGGACCCTGGGCTCCTAYAGTTTTGCCTACAGGTGACTGAATGTCAGGCAGACAGAAGCATTCATTATAGCCCAAGGCCTTCCCGTTTATTGCTGTCTGATCGCTGTGCTTTTATAAAATGTTCTTAACTGCTATAAGTAAGAAACAGGCATCTTCTGATTTGAGAGCCTTTGAAATGTTTTTCAAGGAAACCACATGCACAATTTTATAGTAAAAGCCAGAAAATTATAATAACCCCTGACAACTTGTTCATCTAACTCTTTACTATTTGCAAAACTTGGGCTCAGCCATAATAATTAAATATCTAGCTACAGTGGGGCTATTCAGAAGATAGCCCTGCAGCGTCGGGGGAAAGGTCCAACATGTTGCCATCAAATGGTGTTTGTGGAGTGAAGGAAAGAATGAGGTGTCTGCAGACTCTGAAGGCCATTTCAGAGGAGGTCTCACACTGTCCTGTGCAGAAGGARTAACATGTAGCCTTTGAAGGAGTCCAGTTTGAAAAGTACTCCCCTGAGTATGTATGTTATGGTGCAAGTTTTCAAAGAAGTGAAATAAAACACAAGGTACTTTTTAATGATTCCATGTGTGTTACAGATTGCTTTATACCATATGTATCAGCTATAGATACATTTATATATAAGAAAATATACACATATAAGTAAATGTTGAAATTTGTAGGTTTTCATGAGTTTTAGTAAACCTTGATCTTTTTTTTTTTTCAGACTGTCTCCTGAGGTTTCGTGTGTGTGAGTGTGTGTGTGTGTGTGTGTGTGTGTGTGTGTGTTAAAGCAGGGTCCTAGACCTCTGGTTTTACCAAGTGAGTATAGCATGAGGGTTAGTTGCCTGCTACTCACCTCCTAGAACACATTTCCATAAGGGGTTGCATTTAGAAATGTGTTGTACCCTTAAAAATTTCAAATTAGATATTCTACTGAATGTCTTCTTGGCCATCGCTGTTGACAATTTGGCTGATGCGGAAAGTTTGAATACTGCTCAGAAAGAGGAAGCTGAAGAAAAGGAAAGGAAAAAGATTGCCAGGTAAATCCCATTTTCACCTGAAATATTTGCTCAGTAGTACTTGGGGAGCCCAGCTGCCTGGGAGGCCTGGTGGACTCAGATGTGTTTCAGAGCAGCGGTAGCCTCATGTTGCTGATTTTTGGTGATTGTGGGTAACCATGTGGTACAGATCAAAGAGGAGGGAATATTGGGCAAAAGCCAAGCCCTTGGCTCTTACCCTTGGAGCTGAAAATGGGAGTCATGCATCCTCGTGCTTAAAGAATCACTGCAGTTAATTTTGGCATCATAAAATAAATGATGCATTCAATGCTGATTAGCTCTTGGATGAGAATTTTAATAAGATGATCTGTGTGATGAATCCATTGCATTAGATGAACAGGAAGGTCTGAGTTTGGATTATACTGTGCTCTTGCTGTTAGTGTTGTTCCCAATTAAATTCTGTCTCTCACTGGGGGCACTGTTGATTCAGACTCCTGATTAGCATTTTTATACATTGTAATATAGTTATTTGGTTTCTTGTGTTTGTTTTCACTGTAGAAAAGAGAGCCTAGAAAATAAAAAGAACAACAAACCAGAAGTCAACCAGATAGCCAACAGTGAAAACAAGGTATTTGTTTTTAAATAACTTCTTCTGATTTGCCTCAAAGTGATTCTTCTGGTATCTCCATAAATGTATGACATATGATGTGAAAGTATCTTGTGTATAATGTTCGGGTATGAAAAGAAGAACGTGCTGTACAGATGGCTGGTTTACCAGAGGGGTGAGCTGGCTGTCAAGCCACATTTCACCAGAGAACCCAATGATAAATGTTTTACTAGTTTGTCCACTTATTTTTTCTTTGTTGAAATCACGTGGTTGAAATCACAGTAGTGTCTTCTGGGTGGGTATGATAGTCAGGGATTTTTAGTAGATGTCTGTTCCCAGCAGCAATCCCAGGATCCAAGTGGTCTGGGAGCTCTCAGGTCTCTGCTGTCAAACTTCATCCCACTTATGACAGCTCTGGATGTTTCATTCATTTATTTGTTTGCTCACTGAGTTGAGAAACACTTAGAGTGGTGACTACGTGTCAGACCCTGGGGATTTAAGAAGGAAGAAGACTGTAGAGTCCCTGCCTCCATGGAGCCTGCCGTACAGTGGAGAGACGGGAATTTCAATGTGGTTATCTTGTGGTGTGTGTGACTGCACTGGGACAGCAGAAGGATGGACCCTGCTGACCATGACTGGGTTGGCATTCTATTTCCATCTCCCTTCAGGCCTTCTGTCTGAAACAGAATCGCCCATCTGCCTGTCCCTTCACACTCGCTCACTCACAGATGTACACTTGGGAGAGAAGCTCCCTTCCCTGTGCTGAATGGCAGGGTTGGCCCTTCACTTGGGCACTCTGAAGTGCATTTAAGCCAGTCTCTCTYCCTCCCAAGTTGTCTCTGTCATCCTAGGTTACAATTGATGACTATCGAGAGGAGGACGAAGACAAGGACCCTTACCCACCGTGYGATGTGCCAGGTATGATGAAGGCCAGAGATGGGCTCTCAGCTTGTAAGTGGTGTRGCTTTGCTACCACCCTGTGACTTGCTGCCGAGTCTGTGACTGGGGTGGTCCCAKTCAGGGTCACACTATGCTGCTGAGGCCCCCAAGGCCATGGACCCACTTGCCCCGTGGACCAGTTAGCTCCACATCTTACAGTGGTCACAACTCAGATTCCAGGTGGTGGGAAGTAGAGGTGTGGGTGAATCATGTTAGGCCCAAATTTTTCCAGGAAAACTCTACAGGAGACCGGTTGTTAGTACTCGCCTGATACATTTGCGTTTGATGGATGCCTTATCAGCTGATAATGGTGGGGCTGTGGAATTGGTAGGCCCAGGGGCTACTTGTTTGTGACTTGAAGTCTCTCATGGTGGTTTTTCAGACTGAAGCCATGCAAGGAGGTTTCTAGGGAAGCAGCCAGTGCTGAGAGGGCAGCCACCTTTATTGGTGGTCAGGGAACCTCATTTCTACAGCTGCACACCCTCACCAGACAGGGGCACATCCAGCCCCCACACTTATTCAGTCCATGTTCTCTGGAGAAGCAGRAAAGTCTTGATTTTATTAATTTTAAGCGATTAAAATTAATTTTTAATTTATTATTAATTTTAAGCCATATTTTAATATGAAATCAAGGATGATAATTCAAACCCAAATGCTGTTTTTATTTCATGCCTATAAAAAGTGTTTCATTTAAAGTAGGTGAAGAGGAAGAAGAGGAGGAGGAAGATGAACCTGAGGTTCCTGCTGGTCCCCGTCCTCGCAGAATCTCGGAGTTGAACATGAAGGAGAAAATTGCCCCCATCCCTGAAGGGAGCGCTTTCTTCATTCTTAGCAAGACCAACCCGTAAATACCTGCTTCCTAGTCCCATCACTGCCACCTTTCTGCAGTGACCCTAGTTTGTGGATGGCTGGGGGGGAGGGCGCAGGAGTGGTTGGTGAGGGAAAGTGGTTTATAGCCCTGTTCTGAACCTGAATGTCCCATAATTCCCCCAAGTTTTGTCCAGCTGCTCTCCTGCTCTATTCTTGCTTTCCCGTCAGTTCATGTCTTCCTAGCCTCCTTGTTCCTATGGGGACCTGGGAGGAGTGTGTTCACGGTTTTCCTCCATCATAATCGGGGCATGGAAACAGCAGTAGGTGAATACGCGCTCACCAAGATACCCCAACTGAAGCCCACTACTCTGGTGTTCCCCCATTGCTCATTCCTAGGACCTCTTTTTAACTAGTGGGTTTTGCCTTAAGATGCTTTGTAGGATGAGAGTTTTGTGATCAAGTTCTGAATAGCATTTTTATCCTCAGATCCTGTTTAGGTGATCTTTTTTCCTATTGAGCTTTATGCCAAGTAATGTTGCACAATGGTATTTTATAGATTATAAGTCTTTGATTCAACACTGTGATACTCTGCTTAAAATAGCACTTCTCATGTTAAGATGATAAGGTGCTTACCAGGAACATGGTAATGACTCATGTACTGTAAGAGGAAGAAGTTTATTTCCTAGCTGGTTTCTAGGTTTTATTCATCGTAGATTAAGTGAACTGCTGGGAGGATAAGTGACTCCTGGAAAGGCTTCTAGAACTACAGTAGTTCTTGACTGTCAGAGAGGAATGCTATATAATTCGGAGGCCCTAGGGAGATACAGGTGGGAAGCAAGGAGTCCTTAGGACCCAAAGTTTTGACGATTGTTTTATAGCTCATCACTGTTTGGATGCCCATAGGGGTGGTCGGTGTTGATGGGGGATCTTTGTACTAAYGTTACTGACACCTACAGCTCACTGTGTATACACATGTCAAAGGAATGGGCTGATTTTCTCCCAAATGTCGTGAACACTTCTGCCCTCCCTGCCTTGCAGAGTCTTGCCCAATCTAGGTGCTAACAACTTGCAAGCTCTCCAGGGGATACATGCAGCTTTGAGAAACCCCAAAAGAGAGGTCTCAAGTGAGGGGTCACCTTCATATAAAGTTGACTCCAGTTTTGAAAATGATTTCAAACGAAAACCTATATATATATATCTATAGGGAAAAATGAAACAGAACAACAAAACCCTTTAAATTCTGAAGTCAAATATTGAAGGTAAGGATACTACTACCTCAAGGGTAGCAGGAGAGGTTCTGGTGACCCAGAGAGCCATTATTACAACCCGGAGTCCAGGGTTCTGCTGTCCCTTGCTTCATGGGGCTGCAGGACTCAGTGGGAACCCCATCACACAAGGCAGAAAGATCCTTACGTGTTAGCAAGTAACATCATCAGRTGTCACTCTCACTTCCTGAGGAGGGCTTGTTGTGGGTCAACTCTAAAATTTAACATTTATGACTAAATCTCTAGGCAACAGGAGATTTCGTCAGTCCTCACTGCAGGTCACATTTTAGAACAGCAGTACAAGAAAGGAATTTGTCTCACTCTTTGCATTAAAATTAAAACTTTGGACAAATTGAATTTGACAGAGTTTAATTGAGCAAAGAATGATTCACAAATCAAGCAGCCCTGAGAACCAGAGAAGTTCAGAGAGCTAGACATTGCAATGTGGGCAGCAGCATTTATAGACAGAAAATGGAAGTGAGGGACAGAGACATCTTGACTGGTGACAGTGTGGCCTGTGCTTTATTTTAACATGGTCTGATCAGTTGGAAGCCTGGATTGGCTGAGGCTCAATGCTGTGATTGGCCGAGACTTGGCTCTTAGTTACAGAGTATACTCCTAAAATAGGCCTTCAATTAGTTCGCATATTAAGTTAGATTATAGTTTAGGTAGGGACTCAAGGTATGGAGCATCATTGGGCCAAATTTAGCTTAATTTGACACAGTATTCTTTCCAAGGCAGGGATGGTAAGCCATCAGGCTTCATGTCATAGTGGAAAAACTTCACAGTTGGGCAGATCTGGATTGGAAATCTGCTCCTGGTCCTTATTTAGCTGTGTTACCTTAAAGTTCTCTCACATTGATAAGCCTCACTTTCTCTATCTTTTGAAGGATAGTAGTCTCTGCTTCTAAGGATTCAGTGAAATGGTCTCTCTGAAACTCGAGGCACAAAGTTGGTTGCCCCATGTGCCCCAGGGCCTGTGGCTGGTGACCAGGTCACTCTGATCTGTCCAGACAGGGGKCATGGGTGGTCTAGCAGACAGCCATCCTCTTCCCAATCTCTCACTTCAGGGGCCCCATACTTTAAAGACCCTGACTCTCATGTGGGCCCATGTCCATGCAGTGGCTTTCCCCCACAGGATCCGCGTGGGCTGTCACAAGCTCATCAACCACCACATCTTCACCAACCTCATCCTCGTCTTCATCATGCTGAGCAGCGCTGCTCTTGCGGCTGAGGACCCCATCCGCAGCCACTCCTTCCGGAACACTGTAAGCCTCTGAGAGAGGAGAGGTGGGTGGGGCTCCCTCCCGGGTCAGTACTGGTCCCTCTAAAGCAGAGGCCTTCCTAGGAAGAGGGCCTGTGGGGGTCCAAGAGGCTAAAGCTAGGGTAGGCCTCCAGTTCATCTGCAGGCATGATGGTTTCCAGTTTGGGAGTGCTGGAGCTAGCCTGAAGCTCTTATTTAGAACTGGTAGAGAAAATTTCTTTCTTGTATGGACTTAACTGTACAAAGTTGCTCARCTCTATTCTATTGCTGAGGAGAAATACAAGCCAGGGGGGTGATAGGATGCCAAGTTGAAAGTCTAGCAAAGAGGAGGAACTTGAGGTTTTGTTGTGGCAGGAATCGGTCATGCTAACAAAGTAAGAGGGTTTAATTTTTATTCATCAGTTTTCTAACTTGAGACAGTGCCCTCTGATGCTTCTATGTTGGAAAGAAACTTGTACTTAAATTAATTCTTGGCTCAGCAGCCTGGTATTAGCAATTCGGCTAATTCAGCATCAGAAAACTCCAAAGGCAAGACATTGTCAGAGAGCCAGTAGCCGGTGGACCACCAGGCATAGAGACTGGAATGCCATTCCAGTTATTATTACCCTCCAGAGAGGAAGCCARCCATTGTGTGCCATCAGGCATCACTGCCTCTGTGTGTCCAGTCTTTAGAGATTTTAGGATTAAGACACATCAGCAGATTAATGCATCTCTCCCCATTTCCAGGGCATGGCAAACCTAATCTACTGGAGTGATAAGACACACTCAGATATGTAGATAAAGAGCACCTTCCCCTGARGCATGTGTTGGTGACAATTTAATGAGGAAGGTGCCCAGCCTATCTTAATCTGTTCTCACAGTTTAGGGCTTCTTTTAGAAAGCCACAAGGCCATCTTTACCTAGAATTTCAAATGGAATAAAGACCGCTTGTTGTTGAGTTCTATCATAAAAATGATACACAAGGGAGGAAAAGGTGTTAGATAAAATAATCATTTCATGACAGATTAGATCAGGAGCTAGTTTAAATACATATTGACCAGGAGTTAACTTACCTTGGGACTTTATTTCTTTTCTGTTATAATCTTTTCTTCATGAGTCTATTTACTTGATACTTTTTTTCCAGAACTGATGTTGTCTTTTTTTTTTCCAAATAGATGTGTGTATGTGTATTGGTTTTAAACAAACTGCAGTGTTTTCTTTTAACTTTAGCTGACTTTTTTGTGAAAAAGAAGATGGAAGCTGAGTTAGAAAGAACAACTTAAATCTAAGAATTCAGATTATCCCCTGGACACCAGGTGCCTGGGCACCAAGCCGACTTGGCAGYAGCATCTTTTTTGGCTGCCAGGTGCCTTCAACATTAATATCCCTACTGTGTCCCCTACTGTGTCCTAAGAGAAGGTCTTAGGGGCCTCACAGTTTATTGGAAACTGCCTTTCATTGCCTGGCCAAGAAACACAATCACATAGAAGTGTTTTGCAAATTTTACAAATCCCAGACACACAAACAGTTTGGAAAAGCAATTTCCCTCTAAAGACAGCTCCTCCTCTGAAGGGAGCTGGTCTGGAAGTAGAGATCCTTACCTTATTGTGAAGGGGCAGCAGAGCATCCCCTGAAGTGCTCCTATGTGTGAAACAACATGGCCCTGTGGCCCTGCTGGTACCCGTCAGCCCTCCTTCCTGCTCAGCAGTACCTGTGACTGGATGAGTACCCTGAGCAGGTGCCCCCCAYCCTGTTCCCAGGATGCACATATCTTAAAGGAGTAGGCCTGGTGTTCACCAGAATCCTTCCAACTCTGATGTCTTCAGTTATTTCAAAACCACAGAGAACAATTGCCAGAAAGATCAATAGCCACATAGTCTTGCCTATTGCTAGAGTCTTGGCCGCCATCTTTGTGGTTCAGGGAGCTATGGCCAGTAGTTCCTTTTGAACAACCTTGTTGGAGTCGGTCTTTTAGCTTCTGGCCTGATTTTCCTGACTGTAAGTCCCTATGGCCATGAGGGGAATTAAAGACTTCAGAAGGAGTTAATAAGATTGTGTTCTGAAAATGATGGCATTTTCAGAAATGCAGATAATGAAAATTCAAAGGCCAAGTCAGTCTCCTCTTTGAATGGGCCCAGCAAGGTAAAAAAATCAACCTTAGGAAAAAGCAGTGAGTGCATCTGCAGAGCCACAGACAGAGGAAGATGGGAAATCCCAAACCATACCTTGCAGACTGAACCAGCCCTACACATGGGGGTGAGTGCTATTGTGCACAGTTTAAATAGGAATAAATAGAATGTTTAAATAGTTTGCARCGGGACATGTGGAAGCTTCTGGTTCCATTTGACGCCAGTAACACCTTTGAAATTTTTTATTTTTTGCAGTGCTAGGGATCAAATCCAGGGCTTCACACACACTAGGCAAGTTCTCTGCTACTGAGCTACATCCCTAGCCCTGCCATTGACATCTTTTTTCTAACCTGAAACTTGCCGGGTGGTGACATACTTCATTCAGCCTCACACTCCCACCCCCAAACAGTTAAAACTCCAAAATGTACGTGACTGTCTTATTAGGGGCCACAAGTCATGACTAGAAGCAGTGCACTGATGAGGAAAGGTTGTCAATACAGCATTTTTAGAAACCAGCCCCCTTTGGTCCAGGATACAGACCTGGGAAGCCAGTCAGCAGAGGGGCTAAAGGAGCCCCGTGCCCCTGTCAGTTACAAAGAAGAGCTGTCATTGAACTGAGGTGGGCCTACAGGAGCATCTGTGGTCTACCTCCAGAGCAGCAGGGCTGTCCTGGGAGAGCAGTCTGGCCACGGTTGGGGGTTCTGCTGGTGGGCATGTAGCAGTCGGATCTTGTCCGGATGCTTTGTTCTCACTTCCACGTGTTGTGCCTTGCAGATACTGGGTTACTTTGACTATGCTTTCACAGCCATCTTTACTGTTGAAATCCTGTTAAAGGTAACGGCTTTTTCATTGATTCTCATTACTCTAAAGCAGCCATAGAATAATAGTTGCCATTCTTTGTTTACCTTCCAGATGCTAGGTTATGCAGATTATGTCTTCACTGGTACTTTTGCATTTGAGATCATTTTGAAGGTAACAGGTTACCCAGCAGTGTGTTTGAGGGCCTGCTCCTGTGTTTGAGACACAGGAAAGAAGCGTGAAGTGCTTTTGACTTTATTTTTTTATTTTTTGTCTTCTGTGGCCACGCTAAACTTTTTTCCCCCCTTTAACCAAAATATTTTTTTCTGTGACCATTCCAACTTATTTTTGGTGTTGTTTCCTTTTTAATCTTTAAGTGCATGTAGGAACTACTTTGGCTTCACAGTATAGTTACTAGGGAATTATATTTTGCTTCTTTAAAACAAAATCCTCTGAAATGAGTCCACTGATAACAGACATAGCACTGTGTGAACTTCCTTCTACCCTTCCTGACATCAGAGTCAGAGGAAAAACATTGATCCTATGAAGGGAATGTGTGTCTCCTCGTTTCCCTGACTGCACTATTCTCTCCGTGGCCTGAAATAGTAACATACTATTTTCTTGCAACAAGATTTGCAAGATAACTTGGGTCTACCTGTGTTAAGATATTTACTCTCTGATTTAATGGATGGGCTTACATTTACACAAACAAAAGGAGCACCCTTCAGATAGGGCAACCTAAATGTAGTGCCCATGCATGAGCTAACGGTTGCCGTTGCTGCATGTKATTTGTGTACTGAATGTGGAAGCTKCCCCATGGGAGCAGCTCATTCCTACTTGCTCAGAGATCCAGAGACCAACAGCACAGAGCTAAGAACCTCCAGGAGTGGGTCCCTGTGGTTCTGGGAGAACAGGGCCATGAGAACTGTTGGAGTAACCATCTCCTAGTAGGAAGAAGCTGAGAAATGAATATTTTAAACCACAGTTTTCTTTGAACTATTTTGAGGTTTTGATGTGTGCATCTCAATGAAAAAAATTTATTTTATATTGGACTACTGTGGAACTTGGTCTCTTCACAAAATCTTCTATAAAGAAAACCTCAAATAACATGACCAGGGAATGGCTTCTTTGTGGTTATTGTTAATGAAAAATTAGCTCAAAACCAACAACCAACCAATATCTGTTTAAATTCTTTGTTTCAAATCTTACAAAACTTGAGTTCAGCCTGGTTAATTGAGGTTTTGTTTGATTTTCCACCTTTTCAAGTTGTTAAGTATAGTTATTCTTGGGCTTTGGGGAAATGAGATCCTGGGTTACTTTAAAGGGAGAAAAATGATAGCTGGTTTTAAATTTCCATAGTTTTGTCTCAGTGATTTAAATCATTTAAGTTGTTCTTCATTTTGAAGGTATTTTAGAGAATAGAAACTAAAACAAGAAGCATTCAGAAAATGGAGGTGGACCCCAAATTATCTGACATCTGAAGTACTGGTTCCTGATGGCCTTGGCCATTTGGAAGACTTTTTATTTGGTTAACTGATTGCAATTGCCATTTTGAAGGTCAAAGGTTTGAATATTGGCAATTTAATCAGGTTAGAGCTGATAATCTCCCAACTCTGTTTCTCCTTGGCTGTATATCCGGAGCCTGTTCCCCACCTTTGTTTTTTATCTTTTAAATGAATAGTGAACTCTATAGAGTTATTTTTTCTCTGGGGAACTGTTCCTGTTGCCTGTAGAAAACCTCCCTGGAGTACCCATAGTATATACTCCGGGAGTGYGCAGCAAGTGACAAAAAATGACATTGACACAGGTGTGATGTCCCATGATAGCTTCCTTGCCACACCTGGTACATGTAGAACAGTTAGGATTGGCAGTGCCCTTTGAAACAGGTAGCTCATTAAAGACCACTAGAGGCAATGATATGGGACCATCAAGGACAAAGGATGGAAGTTTCTACGCAGCTAGAGCCTGTGAGTGCTGGACTCCTGTGCTTTCTCTAGCCTCCACGAGGAAGGCCGAACTGTAACAATGTAGGCTCCACTGGAACCTCTGGGAGGCTAGACCAGCACTTGGCGGGGAGGCCGAGTGGTCTGAGCAGTGCTGACAAAGTCACATGGCATGTCTTCCAAGATAGACTCTTTGTAGACATGCCAACAATGTGTTTATGTGTGAAATCAGTGCTTGTAATAAAGTCTAAGTTGGTCACTTTAAAAATGGGTTGGAAGTCAGCTGTCCCTTTTCCATTTTTGTTTGAATACATTGTTTGTGGTCTTTCAGTCCCGCTGGTGTACAATTTTGACTTCCTAATGTGTACTTGTTAATAAAGTCATGCTTTCCTAGAGATTTTGTGAAGAGCACAGGTTGCTTTGCCTCTGGAGAGAAGAAGAAGAAGAAAAAAAAAAMCAGTAAATGACCCATGATTCTGCTTATAGATGACAACTTTTGGAGCTTTCCTGCACAAAGGAGCTTTCTGCAGGAACTACTTCAATTTGCTGGATATGCTGGTTGTTGGAGTATCTCTGGTGTCATTTGGGATTCAGTAAGTATTCTGGGGTGTGTGCGTGTGTTTGTACCCAACACTTTTGGCAAGATGGTTTATAGGAATTTTAATATGACTCATGAGGACTAGCATTGTTTTAATTAACTGTATTTACTTAGCCAGGATTGCTTAATTTGCCCCCATGCCAGAAGCACTGGGGCAATTCATATTTTCCTGTGTTTCTTTTTTAGTTTTTATTCTCACTGCTAGATTGGATTTATAGGTTTATTACTCCCTTTGAAATTCTTTTAGCAGTGAGTGAAAGAAATCTTGAGGAGGGAGGAAGCTAGGTTCTAGTCCTGGTTCCTCCAGGGTTTGCTTCYAGGCCTGAAAGCATCCTTTTGGGATCTTGATTCCCCTTTCCCACAGGAGGGGCTGGGAAGAAGGGCCCTCTCCTGGATCCTTCCACTCTAAATGTGATTTCTTGGGCATCTGGGATGCAGCAGCTGCRGTGACCTTTCTTTTTGGCTTCAAATTTTTCATATTGGATGGAGGTGGCTGCAGCTCCTGAGCCTAGTTCCAGTCACTCCCAACCTTCTCCAATGCTGCAAATGAGCTGCATTCTCTCCAGTAGGGCCTTTGAATGTGCTGCTTGCTCAGCCTGGAGCCCTTCCCTTCTGTTAGCTAATTCCTGTTCCTCCTTTGGGACTCAACCTGGCTATCACCTCCCTGGGAGGCCTTTGCAGGCTACCCCTAAGGCTGTGCACACTGCATTTTATCCCACTGGGGCACATGCCACTCAGGGTTTTGATTGCCCATCTCTCCTACCAGACTTAACTCTTAAAGGCCAGAAAAGCCCCAGTACCAAAGCACTGCAACCTAAAATCCAAGAACTACCTAGTGTTTGCATTGAGAAGAACAAAGCAAGTTTGTAAGTTGCATCTAGTTGCATCTCTGCCAAGATCAGTCGTGTGCCTGAGGCAGGGCCTCTGTGAGTTCCCTTGGGCTCAGCTCAGGATGCATTGGATGTGCTGGAAGGAGACCAGTCTTGGAGAGAGATCAGCTCAGCTTCCATGGATCCCAAGCAGGTTGTGTGCTGGTATTAAAGAGATGAAGATCAAGTGAAATAAGTAATCTCAAAATATTGTATCTATTAATACTTTCTTGTTGGTTTACCTCTGCTCCTCCTCAGATCCAGTGCCATCTCTGTCGTGAAGATTCTGAGGGTCTTAAGGGTCCTGAGGCCCCTTAGAGCAATCAACAGAGCAAAAGGGCTTAAGGTACGGATTCCTCTCCTTCCAGCAGGGCTGGCTGCAGTTACTGACTTTTCTGGGTCAGAGCTAAGCTGAGGGGCCTTTCCCACCAATTAATAACACCTTTGTGGAGACTGATGACATTACTGTTTATTTGAGATCTTTTTCTTTATGATTACTATTCATTTTAATACTTTTTTTCATTCAGTAATAGTTCTTTTCATTTTAGTCTTTACTCTCATGCAGATTATGCAAAAAGCTAAAGAGTTTGCATTTTCCTAAGTCCTTTGGGGRCAGGAAGACATTGTGGTATCTATATGCCAGGAATAGCTATACCCCCTAGCATTTCTTTTGAATTAAACCACCTTCTTTGTAAGTGGGCCCCTCTTTGGTTTCCTCCACGGGGGCCACAATGTAGTGTGGGACCTCCTGCAGATAACCTGAAAAAAACAAATACTAGGGACTGCAGAGTCAGGAAATCACATGAAAAATGCACACATAGAAGCCCTAGACTGGTGTTAGCTCACTAATGCTAAAGTAATGAAGGAAATGACACCCCTGCATCTTCTCCCCGCTCTTGTCTCCCCAGCACGTGGTCCAGTGCGTCTTTGTGGCCATCCGGACAATTGGCAACATCATGATTGTCACCACCCTCCTCCAGTTCATGTTTGCCTGCATCGGGGTGCAGTTATTCAAGGTAGAGGGGTGCACTTCATGTGTGGCCAGGTGATGCTTTGAGAAGGAGCCCGAGCCTGACTGTCATCTGTCTGTTTTGTACTCAGGGGAAGTTCTATCGCTGCACAGATGAAGCCAAAAGTAATCCTGAAGAATGCAGGTGAGTGTCTTGGGAGCAGAGTCATTTCAGGAATTTCCAATGAATACAAGAGGCCTGTGTGCTCAGCTCATGGCTGGATATTTGGTGTTTTTAAAAATGTTATTTATTTTTTGTAGTTCATTTGATTTCAAAATTGAGGTGAGATTCACCTAACATAAAATCAGTTCAAAGTGTGCAGCTGTGTCAGTGCAGTCAAGCGGTTGTGTCTTGTTCCAAAATTTGATCATCCTAATGGAATGGGTAGCYGGATCTTGCTATTTGGTATAGAACTTACAAACTAGGGCTTCAAAATAATGATTATGAGATGCCCCAAGTAACTCTCCTTACATCCCTGTGGATAATGTTGCTCCCAAATAAGGACATGCAGGCCAACTCCCTGGTGTTTGAAAGCTGACTACCCTCTTCTGGTAGATTTTCCAAACTTCTTCTCTCCTTGCTCCTGTCACCCACGTTTTTGACCATAATTCCATTCATAAGAACTGGCAGAGGAGAGAGAAAGTAAAAATATTTATGCCTCCTATCCCAAGGTGGCCATTGAATATGAAGGCAGGCATGGAGACCCTTGCTCAGAGATTGGGGCTGAGCAGAATCTGTGTGTTCCCATCCTTCAGAGACCTGACCAACCAAGGTCTGGCTGCCCACATTGCTGACGTTGGTTAGGGGCTTCCTTTATACAGAAGGTGTAGTCACAGAGCACCAGTTGCAATTTTTWWAAAAAAAAAACAAGTTTATTTCTGCTATCAAAGAACAGAATCATGACAGTTTAATTTAACAATTCTAATTGGCTTCATTTTAAATTTTAAAATCAGGTAACACTTCATTCCATAAAACATTCATCAAAAATAATTTGATGAGTTAACATCAGATTATTTATTTTGCTTACACAAAATAAGGACAAGGGAACTTCATTATTTCGCCAGTTGAGAATGGCTGTTCTCCTTCCAATCCAGATTTCTCTTGGRGGACCAGATGTGTCAACTTGGTTTGATTGCATGTTTTGTTTTGTTTTTTCCCCTGGAATATTGTCTCTGTTGAAAAACTGGCTTCACAAAGAAGGTAGCAGCAGGAAAATTTCAGAATCCAAAGCTTAAAAATAAGTCTTGGGCAGTGTGGGGTTATTTTCTGACTCTGGAGGGGATCATTCGGTGTCCGGAGCTTGGGGACAGAGGCAAAGTCCCCAGCCGCCCATCTAGGAGATGTCACTCTCGGTAGCGTCTGGTGTCCTGACCTGTGCTTGCCCAGGATGACAGTGGATAAGGAGCAGTAGGTCACAGGGGCCCCCTGACCCTCTGGGAGACAGAGCTCTCCCTGGGCAGACCCAGGGGCTAAGGGTCAGTGGCCAGGGGAGAATCAGCGACTGGCCCTGCCTGTGGTCCCTGAGGTCCTGGGGCAGGGATGCAGGAGGCAGCCAGTGTCACAAGACATCCCTGTCCCCAGCCAGGCCGGGCGCCTGGCTAAGCAAGGAGAAAGACGGTGTCCCTCCTCAAGGCCTGGCCCCTGAGCTTGTCTCACTTCTTCCCTGGCACCTCCTGGAAGGGGAGGAAGTGACACCCAGGGGAAGGCCAGGAAGTGAGGCCACCATCACATTCAAGTTCAGGGTGTAACAGCTCAGGCTGCCTCCCAACAGGCCCCATACTCGGCTCCCCTTCATGGGCCACATCCCTTTTGAGAGTCATGCCCTGCCCTTTATAGGCACAAGGACCCAGAAGTTCCAGAGACCGTCCATGTTTAGGCCCTCAGATCCGGAAGTTTAGGCCCTTGGATCCAGAAGTTCCTCAGGAATCCATGTTTAGGCCCCAGGATCTGGAAGTTCCCCAGGCGCACGTCCATGTTGAAGCCCCAGGATCTGGAAGTTCGATGGGTGCACGTTCATATTTAGGTCCCCGGATCTGGAAGTTCCTTGGGCGCACATCCATATTTAGGCCGTAGCATCTGGAAGTTCCTTGGGCGCATGTCCATATTTAGGCCCACAGATCMGGAGGTTCCTCAGGTGCTYGTCCATGTTTAAGCCCCCGGGCTCRGAAGTTCCTCAGGCATCCATGTTTAGGCTCTAGGATCCGGAAGTTCCTCAGTCCTCCATGTTTAGGCCGGACACGTAGCATCCGGAAGTTCCTCAGGTGCACATCCATTTAAGCCCCAGGATCCGGAAGTTCCTTGGGTGCACGTCCATGTTTAAGCCTCCAGGTCCAGAAGTTCCTCAGGCATCCATGTTTAGGCTCTGGGATCCAGAAATGCTTCAGGCGTCCATGTTTAGGCCCTAGGATCAGGAATGCCTCAGACATCCATGTTTAGACCCTCGGAAGTTCCTCAGGCACACATCCATGTTTAAGCCCCTGGATCCGGAAGTTCCTCAGGTGCACATTTAAGCCCCTGGATCTGGAAGTTCCTCAGGCACACGTCCATGTTTAAGCCCCTGGAACCGGAAGTTCATCAGGCACCCATCCATGTTTAGACTCTAGGATCCAGAAATGCCTTAGGCATCCATGTTTGGCCTTCAGATCCCCACCAGTTGCAATTTAACTATGACTGTGCCACTCTAGAGGCACCAGCACCCAGGTTGTGTGGTGCAGAGTGCCCCTGAAGCTGAGTCCACAGCAACAGTGAGGAGACACCATCTCTTCCTTCTCAAAGCCTCTGCTTCCTTATCTGTAGAATAACAATAACGGACATATCTCTTGAGTTCCTTCCAGAAGGAAAGTTCTGTGAGAAACATCACATGCCCAAAACTATGGATCTGTTGGAGGAAAAATTGGGAATGCCATTAGTAATAAAAGAAAGAGATTAGATGTAAACTAAAGTGCAGATAGAAATATTCCTGGGAGCTGGGGTTGTAGCTCGGTGGTAGAGCACTTGCCTGGCACAGTGAGACTCTTTGTTCCATCCTCAGCACCATATAAAAATAAATCAATAAAATAAAGGTATTGAGTTTGTCTACAACTATAAATATATATATTTTTAAAAAKAGTTTACTTGGGCTTGTTTCCCAGAGCTTACAAAATTCTCTATGAACAAAGCTTTGATTCTTAAACATATACTCTGAGTCTATTTTCTATGAGAAACATTTACCCATCCTGTGGTTTTCATCTGTTAAAAAAAAAAAACACACACACACACTGGGTGTCTGCCTAGCTGCTTTGGAGGATGCATGTTGCAGTTATTCAACAATTGTTCAAACTGTGGACTAGATTAAATGCAGGGAGCGTGCAGGAGAGACTCTACTTGTGCTATGCTCAGGTGAGGCTGGGTGTGACGTGCCTAGAAGAAAGTCTGGGGCTGAATGGCTGATTTAAAATTATTTCTACCCATGTTGTGTRAAAACAGGACAAATCCTGTTTCTTTTCCTCTCTAGGGGACTTTTTATCCTCTACAAGGATGGGGATGTGGATAGCCCTGTGGTCCGTGAGAGGATCTGGCAAAATAGCGATTTCAACTTTGACAACGTTCTTTCTGCTATGATGGCGCTCTTCACTGTCTCCACTTTTGAGGGTTGGCCTGCGTGAGTATAGAAAATGTGCAGTCTTCCAGATGAGGCTCCTCTGGGGGCCTCTGGGCTGAGTCCTCTCCAAGAGTGAGTCTCATTTCCATGTTCACAGTCACAGGCCTGTCCCKTGACACTCTTTACTTTGGGGCATTGATCATCCCTTCCTGGCCCACGGAGCTCTGCTCTCTGATGAGTCAAATGGCTAACGTCTGTGGCCTGCTAACAGGACTCTCACATTGGTAGCAGAGATGGTATAGGTCCTGGGCAGCATCGCTGGATGGGACCAGGGGGTTCTCAGAGGCATGTGTGTGCCAATCCCCGTTGGTAACCATTTCAGTAAAGGTGCCATTCTGTTGTTCCTAATAAGGGTCTTGAAAGTGTCCCAACCTGTTCGCTCATTAATTCTGATACATAGAGTGCTAACGTGTGCCAGGTGTGGATGGTTTCCATCATGCCTTTTCTGTCATTAAGGCACTTGCTGGCTCATTCACTAAATGTGCTTTTGAAATCAGCTCTATTCAACAAGCTGTGCCAGGTACTATGGAAGTAAAACCGTGGGCTAGGCATGATTCCCTCCTTCAAAGCACAGATCCAATAAGGGTGTCAAGGTCAAACCAGGCAGGAGCTCTGGTATGTCCTCGACATACAGAATATGGTCCTGGAGGATGGCTAGGATTCAGGTGGGAAAAATCAGACCAGAAAGAAGGAAGAAGGTGGCACACAAATGGGAGAGTCTCTTGTACCGTGGTTGCCCTCTGATGCCCCATGCCCAGAGCAGCCACAGCAGGTGGCAGAGCTCTCAGGATACAAGTGAAAGGCACAGATTATCAGAAGCTTCTGTGAGATCAAGGGATGGTTGGGTGGGGTTTGCTCATTAGAAAATTGGTCCATTGAGAAAAGAGGCATGGAGTAAGGTGGTCACTCTGAACAGGTGGTGGCCATAGTGTCAGGTTTAGGATGCTGTGCTTTAGCACTCAGAGGAACTGAGCTCACCTCCTGACTCTGTCCCTGAGAAGTGTGACCTTGGGTGCTTGAATTGCTCTCTGAACATCCATAAAATGGGGGTGACAGCAATATTAGTCTTTCCAGGTGCAAAGATGAGAGGAGAGGATGTAGGAGTGGTGGGCACCATGGGTGTGTGCATCTGTATTGGGGGATCAGCTGAAGTCAGAGTGTACATTTCCTACTCCCATTAAGAGTTCTGCTTGATGTATACTTCTTATGTGTTGTGCATATTTTGTTTGAGAAACTCCCCTCAGTTCTTTGGAAATGCTTGGGTCAGATACTTATTGTCTTTGCCAGCTGTGTAGTTTTCGGTTCCTCCGGTATGTTACATGATGTTCGTCCTCTCTCCTCTGTGAATAGAAAGGAGTGTTACTTGTGAAATCTTTTCATTTTCAGTCCTCAAAATAATTTCTTTTTTTTTTATATTTTTACTTTATTTATTTTTCAGTTATTGGCAGACACAACATCTTTGTTGGTATGTGGTGCTGAGGATCGAACCCGAGCCGCACGCATGCCAGGCGAGCGCGCTACCGCTTGAGCCACATCCCCAGCCCTCAAAATAATTTCTACATGATTATATTGTAGGTTCCTCTCCTYTGGGTGTCAGCTTCAGGGCCTGAGGCTGAGGAGGGGCCTCAGAGACCTGGTTGTATCCAGAGKCCTTGTTGGGTGGCACCCTGTGAGGAGATGAGAAACAGTGCCCACAGGAGTTCAGAAGAACTCTGGGGACATCTTGGGGGAGGCCATGGGCTGGGCCACTTGGGCGGAGTGGGATTGGGAGGTCCTTACTTGGTTTTTCTGCTCTCCAGGTTGCTGTATAAAGCCATTGACTCAAATGGAGAGAATGTTGGGCCAGTCTACAACTACCGAGTGGAGATCTCCATCTTCTTCATCATCTATATCATCATTGTCGCCTTCTTCATGATGAACATCTTTGTGGGCTTTGTCATCGTAACATTTCAGGAGCAGGGAGAAAAAGAGTATAAGAACTGTGAGCTGGACAAAAATCAGGTTAAAGTCACACACTATGCTTTTGTCCCTCGAGCAAGAGCTGAACATCTCTTTTACCACCCTGCACTCAGAGAAGGGTGCCCCTGGGCTCAGCCCTATTCAGAGCGCACTCTCAGCCAGTTTGAGTCATGCCTGCTGAGTTAGGCTTCCATATACAAAGCAGATTTCATGATTGTAAAACCCATTTACAGTTGCCTTAGTGAGAAATCAGAGAATACTTAGGCCTCCTTCCACGGTCATGGCCCAGGAATGGTGGCATAGAATCTTATAGGGCCTTTTGGCCTGAGGCCAGTATATACCCATTCAAGTTTCCAGTCTCTACCAGGAGACTCTTTAGTATCTGCTTAGGCCAGACTTTCTTTACCATGGCACTATTGATATTTTAGGCTGCATAATTCTTGTTGGTGCTTTCTGGGCACTRTAGGATGTTTAGCAGCATCCCCAGCTTCTRCCTACTAGATGCCAGTAGCATCTCCATCCTCCAGTAGTGACAACAAAACATTCCTGGTCATTGCCAGATGTCTCCTGGGGAGCAGATTTGCCCYTGAGGAGGAAAACCCCTCTAACACCAGAAGGGAAGTCAAAAACTTTAAACTGGAGATTAAGGTTTGAGTGGCATCCTTATTTCTTCATCTAACACTTTGTTTTAACCAATGTGGTAGAAATAGGAGCCTCTGGCTCTGCATGGTGCGTTGATGCGGCCAGGAGTCCTGTGCTCTGGCCCTGCCTGCCTGCATCTGCTTTGTGACRTTAGGTGCGTCTCTGCTCTCCCATCTCTAACTGAGGGCATTAAGGAATCACCCCTTAGAGGTTCCTTTGAACCCTAAAAAAAAAAAAAAGTGTGAGATGAAAGCCTGTTCTGGGAGTTTCCCTAGTCCTCTTTTGGTAGCATTTCTGCTTTGGTGATGAAATAGTAAGTAAGAATGATCCAGCAGCCTGGGATTTCAGGCTGTAGCTATGCCCATTATAGAAATGTGAGGATATTCTTGCTTGGTTTGTAGGAGAACTTTCCTTCGGGTTGTCAGGGTGTCCTTGCAGATCCCACACAGTACAGTCTGAGGGAGCCTGGCCTAGCCCTGTACCCACTCATCTGCTCCAAGAAAGATGAGGGCAGGGCCAGGGCTGTGGATGGGCACCTGAGGTTCTAAACAAGCTTGAATTGGGTCCCTGGTGTCAGTATGTGAGGTTGGAATGGTACCAAGTCCCAGACACAGGGAGCCTGCCTGCATCTAGAGTCAAAGCAGGAGAGCAGGTGCAGAGCCAGGGCCTCTGGTCTGACCTAAAGGCTCCTGGGGATGGAGGCTCTCTCTGGACTTGATGCAGAGGRTGGACCAGTCTTTGTCCCTAGAGCGAGTAGGAAGGATAGGTCTCTGGATAGACACAAACTTAGTTTAATCCAGCCATCAATACCAACCATATCCTGGAGATTCTAAATCCCTGAAGCTCCCAGATAGATGCATGGACAGCTCACCATGAGTCACACATTCTGACTCCTGAGAGGTGTCTTATGTGGGTCCATCTGAGCAGCCGAGTGCTGCCGTTCTCAGGGACTAAGTCAGCCCCTCTGGCTCTTGATGAGCTTGTGCCTGTGGGTGTTTGGCTTCCTGTCCCCAAGGACAGCTCAGCAAAGGACCTGGCCCAACAGTGGAAGGGAAAGGCAGTGATGAGGCCTGGAGCAAGTCTGCTCTCTCGTGCTCACACTGCACGTCCTCAGCATAAAAAGCAAAAGTTCAGAATTAGTTTTTTTCATAAGCAAAATGGGGGCTCTGCTTACTTCCTACGTTGCAATGGTAGTGCTGGAGGCTGAGACCTTGGTGGTGCTGTGGCAGGAAGGGTGGTGGCTTCTAGTTATGTTCTATTTAGGAGGCTAGAGTGAACTGTTGCAGAGCAGATGACCACTGTGGCTCCTTCCCTCAAAGTGCTCAGAACCTCTTCTTTGCCCTTTTCTGCCGTTGCAGCGTCAGTGTGTTGAATACGCCTTGAAAGCACGTCCCTTGCGGAGATACATCCCCAAAAACCCCTACCAGTACAAGTTCTGGTACGTGGTGAACTCTTCGCCTTTCGAATACATGATGTTTGTCCTCATCATGCTCAACACACTCTGCTTGGCCATGCAGGTAAAAATGGAGACAGCTGTGGGGACCAAGTCTGGGCATTCTGCACAGCCCTGTACCCCAGATTCTCAGGGTGGAGTGCTGCCCCCTCACAAGAGGATGGGTTTGATGTTCTGATGAGTCCGGGTTATAGTATGGCCAGAGTCCATTCTCGCTGACTCTTACAGTAGATGTTTAAGATCACTCCTTTGTTTGAGACCATACAGCATGATGGTAGGTAACATTCCCATGGATCCCGCATGTGGCTTTCAATTCTATGTGGGCCTCTTGTGGCCAGGGAATGGTTAAGTACTAAAGTTCTCCGGGGTGCCGCAGCGCATGCCTGTAATCCCAGCGGCTCAGGAGACTGAGACAGGATTGCGAGTTCAAAGCTAGTCTCAGCAAAAGCAAGATGCCAAGCAACTCAGTGAGACTCTGTCTCTAAATAAAATACAAAATAGAGCTGGGGATGTTGCTCAGTGGTTAAGTGCCCCTGAGGTCAATCCCCAGTACCCAGAGGCGGGGGGRAAAAAAGGGACCAAAGTTCTGGACTTGAATAGGCAGGAACTTCAATCCTGATTACTCCTTATCAGCTGGGTGACCTTAGAAAAGTTATCTAATTCCCTGAACCTGGCTTTCTTAATAGGTAATATGGGGAAATCTGACACACCTACCTCAGAGATGAGGTTTAAGCTGAATTATTTGTATCAGGTGCTACACACCATGAACACCCAAAGTCAAAAAGCAAACCCTAAGTCATATACTTATTTTCAAGGGGCTTTCGACCATGGCAGTGGGGAATTTTATGATTCATGAAATCCTGGGTTTGATCTGAACTATAGTTACTTCTAGCTGACATCAGGGGCAAGGAATACATTTCACTCAAATTGCCTGAGTCGGGGTTTAATTTGGTATCAACAGTGAATGTTTTCAGGAATTATGTTGACGAGTAGCTATCACATTAGGACAGCAAGCAAAGATCAAGGTCTAGATCCAGATTTTGCCTGGACTCTAAGAACTTGTCAAACCAACTCTCCTTGCAATCTGGAAAATGGTTGTAAAGACAGTCGAGGATAAATTTTCTGGCACTTCCTTACCTGAAAAATTCCTTATGAATGAAAAAGAGCATTTACTGTTTAAGATCACTCCTTTGTTTTAGACCATACAAACTGATATAGCAAAAAGTATAAAATCAGAGTAATTCTGCCTTTTATTAAACATAGACCTAAATGGCATAGGATTTATCCCTAATCAAATTTTGCTTTTGTTCATAGACATTTTGGTAGTGTCTGCATTGTGCCTTAATCAAGGGCCTGAGTATAAGCTCTGCCAGAAGAAAGGGTGAACTCCCCTTCTCCTGAGCTGAGAGAATGGATTTGTTTTTCCCTCCATCATTCAATCATCCTCATCTTGTCATGGACCCCCTGGGCTTGGTGGGAGTTTACCATGTGACCTTGCAATGCCGGTCGAGTTGGGAGAGGGTGCCRGACCATGGAGATTGCCCACACGGTTGCAGAGAGCTGGGGAGCCTCCTTCTGCGAGGGTGTGAGATCATGGCCAAGTCTCTGAGAGCCATACCTCTGTCTTCCTCCACAGCACTATGAGCAGTCCAAGATGTTCAATGATGCCATGGACATTCTGAACATGGTCTTCACTGGGGTGTTCACTGTCGAGATGGTTTTGAAAGTCATTGCATTTAAGCCTAAGGTGAGTTGCTCAATCACTCAGAGAAAGCACCAGTTTCCTGTTAGACTTGTGTTACTGAATTGCACTCAGTTGTTGTGGCTACTAACTGGGTTATCACCTGAGAACATTAAAATCTGATCAGGGCATCTGTATACACACAGGAAAATCAGTTTGCAGAAACAAAACCTCATGAAAACAATTCCGAGAAAAAGAAGAGGAGAGAATTGGGAATCTGTAGGGGGGAGATTGTTTGGAAACCTGATTTTCTGGTTCTAGAAGAGCATGTCTCATGCTATCTCAGGAAAACCTTCATTCTCTGAGCACTGGGGAAAGGTCCAAATATGACCATCAGAGTTTGATCCTGATTTTACTTTCAGATTTCTACCATGAAGACTTTGGTTTATTCTTGCTCTGCAGCACACCTTTCACATTTTATGTAAAGTTCKAGAACCAACTGCAGACTTCTCACAGTCATCCCATCTTTTGTTTCATTTAGAAAAATTGCACTCGACTGTAAGAAAAATGGRATGTGAAATATTAAACCACACTGGAGGGCTCAGCATATCGTCTTTCCTTTTGGAGGACAGTGAATTCTGTCCCATGCTCACCAAAGGCTATATCAGAAGAGGCAGTGTAGTTCAGTGTCCAAGAGCACAGATCTGGAACTGGACTGGATTCAGATCCTACTCTGCCACTTACTAGCTTAAGCAAGTTTCTTCACTGCCATGTGCCTCAATTTCTGCATCCATAATATGATAATGCTAATAGTCCTCTTTCATGGACTGCTGTGAGGCGTGAAGAAGTACCATATTTAGTGCCTGGCATGTGGTGCCAGCTGCCACCATCACTTTCGTCAGTGATGCTCCCTCATTCTAAAACCCTAGACACAGTAGCTGAGCTGAACTATGAGGCATTTGTCCCTCAGCCTCCTCCTTAGCATAGACCCAAACTCTAAGAGTTAGAGGATGACAGAACCCAGTGCTCTAGTTATTGGTTCTCTTTGAGTGGGGTATCTTAACAACATTAATTTAAGTAAGACCATGGATTAAGAAATAGTTTCACATACTCCACAGTTACATGAAATTCTAATTCCAGACTGTTCCTTTCTTTAATTTGAATTAATTTCTATGCAATCTTTATCAGATCTTTGTGGACCAAAAAGAAAGGACATTTGTAAGTGATTAATTGGATGATTGCAGTGGGGTCAAATTGGGCACCTTATGCATGGCCAGATGTTACCTACTGTGACTTGTCCATATCTACATACATAAACATTTCCTCCTTTTCCAAATTCATCTTAATTTCCTTTGAGATTTTGGTTTGCTTCCCTCTCACCTTTACTTCTTTGAACAATATTTGTCTGAACTGATGGAAAAGGTTGCAGAGTAAGAATRTGGAAAGTACTTGTGAAATGCATGTGGAACCCACCTATGGAACATTTCCCAGAGGCCCTGTGCCATGTCTTCCTTTKCCTGATGGTTAAACTCAGAAAGTTTTGAAAGCTTGAACCAGGCTGAGGAGAAAGTCCACTCACAGTATGTGAGTGAGTGAGAGTGCGYTTGTATGTATGCACACATGTGTACTTGAGTCTGTGAGTGTGTTTGTATGCACGCCTGTGCATTTGTATGCAGGCCAGTGCACCGGTGGCTTGTAGCACACTGCTTAGCCCAGGAGAGTTCTGTGGCGTGTGAACAGATGGGTGATACCCAAGGGAAATGAATAGCTAATTTATAATCAGTACTGAGAGATCAGAGTTTTTAAATGGGTGATTTCCGCCACACATTGTATTGCTTTGYAGTTTTACTCAGCAAGATATTTTCATAGCACAAGATGACCTCAAATTACAGTTGAGAGAACTTTTCAAATAACAACAGCGTCCTTGCCTTTGGAGAGCACCCAAGCCAGAGGAGATGGGTCCTCTATCACTGTGTGCCTGGTGGAGCAGGGGAAAATGAAATCACCATGAAGCAAAGCTCTGCTTGAAACCTTTATTTCTTATTCTTCTCTTTGATGTTTATAAGCCAAGTTCAGGTGAGGGTGGTCTTTTACAAAGAAGTCAAGGAGGCTACCTCTGTCCTCACAGTGGGATAGTGGGCCAAGGAGCAATGTTGTCAGGGCTTCAGAGACAGGAAYGTGCCAAGGAGGTGGCCACAGGGGATTTCAGTCTCATCTCAAGAGAGTCTTTGTCCCCCTAAGGAGCTCTGTATCAGAGTCCTGGGGTAGCTTTCTCCACAGTAAGAGCATGCCTTCTAGGAGAACTCACCAGCCTCTGTTGGGAGAGACAGATTGCWGTTGTCATATAAAACCATTTCAGAAAGTGAAATCAGAAAAAAAAAATCCATATTGGTAGGTAAGAAGGCATTTCAGGATGCAAGGGTTAAAAAAAATTGAGTTTCCTAATTCTGAGAACTTTTTATACATAAGGAATCTGAGAAATGGGGCCTCTTGGGAGATAGTGCATTTAGAAGGAAATGGTTCAAGGCCATGTAAGGTCAGTTACCCAACACCCACAAGCAGGAAGGGGATGAGGTGGGAAACCCAGAGGTGAGAGATTCCACAGTGGGGAGGCAGTCTTGCTTCATAAGAAGAGTTGTTTTYGAGCACTAGACAAGCAAGAGTAGAAGGTGATGAGACGCCAAAGAGCAAAAGAATTGGGGAAGGGCAAGCAGAACGCACATTTTATTGCACCCCACAGGGGAATCCACCTGGTGCACTCTAGGTTGTGCTTTTGACTTGGAGTTGATCATGCAGCTGTAGGGTTTGGAAACATAATTCAGGTAAGAGATGAGCCCTGTTCCCCTAGCCTTCACCTCCAGGAGAAGCTACTGTAATTCTGCAATGAATTCTTATGCTCCAAGGAGAAAGGTTTAGGAAAGAGGGCCTCTCCAGAGGGTTGGCTCCAGCAAGTATAAAGAGCACATTGTGGAGTCAGAAGGGCCTGACCTATCTATTTCTGGATACCACCCACCTGATGTTTTATCCCAAAACTTGGTCCAGATCCAGGATACCTGCCATGGTTGTGGGATTTCCTCCCAGTGAACCACACCCTGTTCCATGTCTTAGTCCTTAAGCCTTTTGGTYTTAGTTCTGCCCTGAAAATGTCTAATTCACACTCCTACCCACTTGGGCTTGGAAAAAGTAGAAGAGTTGGGTTTGGTGCTGTTCCTTACTTCTACACAGAGCCAAAGCACAGTAGGTTGTGGGTTGCCTGGTCTCATCCACCTCTTGGGTAGCACACCCTGCTCCAGGGCCCCTGGCAGGAGTAGGGCTTCTTAATACAGTTCCAACATTCTTCCTGGAATATGTTCTGCACCTCCTGGAAAGAAAATTGGATACTGCCTTTCTAGTTCTTCAATGATGACATCTTTCCAAGTGATTTCTTTTCAATGCCAAATAATACTAGAAACCAAGTATTACCACCATTAGAACTTCACATTGGACTTTCTGATGGGTGCTTTCATCTTGTTCCTCAGTCTCAGCTCCCTCCCAGTCCTCTTCTCTCCAAGTAAGATATGTGTGTACCTAGGGCTGTCTCACCAGCCTTGCCTACTGTCCTCTCTCCTGGGCAAATGCCTGCTTTCTCAGAGATCTCCCACCCATGGAGAGCCCTTTCTGTACTTATTCCCTTTGTAAATAACAAAMTGACCAGGCTACTCTTCTGGCACTGGCCACCCATTGTTCAAGGAAAAGAAATGTGATTTTCTTAGTCTAATATTTGAAGTCCTCTGCAAAACACTTGTATAAGCACATTTCTACCTCCTTTCCTGCCACTCTCTGACATTCCTTCTGCTCCACCCCATCCCCAAATGTGAAGATGCCACTCCTTTCCAGGTCCACAGACCTTATTCTGGAAGCCTTTAAGACCCACTGGACATTACCTCCCCAGGAGACACATCCCTGCTAGCCCAGCCCAAGCCAACCTTTCCCTTCAGAGGTACCTCTGAGAGATGCTTACCATGCAGTGTTGCTATAAACACTGCTGAGTCTCTGTTTGCTGATAAGCAGCTGCTCAAGGTCACAGGCTWTGTTTGGGTCCACAGTACTTCATGTGATGCCTGCTACAAGGTGGTTACTCAGAGATTGGTGAAATGAAGGAAGGAATAAGTGCTTGAGCCTCTAGGCACAACTTGGCCAAAGATAGCACTTGCTTTTCTATCGATTTCTAGGTAGAGTGTTTGCCAAAGTGGGATATGTTTCCTATTAAGCCCCACTTTACCTTTGGAAAGGTTTAAGCTAGTCACAAAGTTGCTCATTACTGTTCTACCATAACTTGGCACYACGGGTCATCACTTGGGTCAAATATTGCCCAAACAGTCCCTGCCAGAAGTTAGTAAGTGATCTGGCTGCCATGGTAAAGGACAAAGGGCAGGTTGTTTGTGGAGGGTTTCTTTAGCTCTGCAGATAAAAGTGAAGCCAGGCAGCAAAAGGAATCTGGACTTGGGCTGAGTTTCTTGTTTTCCATTTGCAACCGTTCTCCAGACACTGGCCCTTTGCCATCCTCAAGCCTGCGCTGTATCCTGGCGAGGGGCCCAGGAATAGTCGTAGCCCAGCCTCTGCCTTCCAGGAGCCTGCTGTAGGGCAGGAGACAGACACYGACAGACAGTCAAAACAGGGTTCTTAGAAAGAATGGAGCTTCCTGACTCTAATGTCTGCATTAATCTGGTTCATGATTTAGGTTTCCAGAGTCAGAATTGTTTCTGAATAATGGATATGATTGCATGTGGTGGGCTTGCTTGGTCTTTTTGGGTAGGTGGAGCTGAAAAACAAAAATAGAGAAATAGATAGATTTGATTGCTCATTCCACTGGAGAGTTACAGAATTTGGTGGAAGTGATCATCAGCCAAGAGGAAGAGCATGGAGATGGGCCCTGGGTTAGGAGCTCTTGTCTTATCTTCTGGTTACCCAGATGCTGTGGGCCTTTGGTGGGGAAGAGTGGGGACTGAGTCATGCTCACTCCAGCAGTGATTTCTTCAAAATAGGAGGCTGCTAAACAGGGAAACAGTACGTAGGAAGAAAAAGAAGACTGACATTTTCTGCCTCTCCTGTCCTCCYGTCAGAGCTACCTGCACCAAGTCAAACCTCCTATAGCCTAGATTAGGGGTGTCAACTTTTGGTCCATGAACTATTATGATTTGGGTGCCATTTTGTGAGTGTGAGGGATTTTCTAGAGWGTCATATTTCCAAAAAGCTCCAAGACCCAAAAGAAGTGTTAAGCCCCTGTCATATTAATTCAAAAGGATTTTATCCATTCTGTGAGTGATGATTGCCTCCATGGAGAATAGCTTGTAGGTGGATGGGAACAACCCTACAGTRGGAGCATTGATCATTCAGGAGAGGGACAAGCTGTCAGGAGTAGGACAGCTGTCAGGAGTAAAATCCCAAGGCTAGTGGGAGAGCTGTSTGGCGCAGGAGGGAGTGGTGGGTTTGGCCTCTGGCAAATCCCACAAAGTAACAGGAGAGAGATGCGGTGCATGTGGTATGGGTTTTGTGCCACAGGAGAGAAGGAAGGATGCTTGGCTTTTACTGCTATGGGAATAACCTGGAGCTCTAGTGTCTACTCATGACCAAGCATTTGATTAAGGCATAAATTCCTCCCCACAGGAGAGGGGAGGGGTTGCCACATTCCCTTTAGCTTCTGAGATGCTCTTAAGTCCATGAGGGAAAAGGGCAGTTTCTGCCCTTCTGTGTAGTCTGAGGCACTGCTGTCCATCAGAGAACTGCTTGTTACCTATTTGCCACAAGAGRACCATGGGCACCTCAGCTCTGGCACTGAAGGCACCCTCTGACTCAGCTGCCTTCTGTGTCAGGAGACCTTGGTGAAGGACACACACACATCTTCCTTCCCATCCTGGGGCTGGCTGTGTATCCCACCTCTGACCACATCATGGTCTAGACCTCAAAGATGCCCATTTTCCTGCAGTGTGGCCAGCAGAGAATCATGAACTCATAAGAGGACAAGCTGAGAAGTACAAGTGGTGTCTTTGAAGTAGAACTTCTCCTTATACTTGAATAGGTCATTGGATTTGCTGTAGACTAACTGCTCCTGTTAGCTTCTTAGGCTGCTGATAGGGGGCCAGGAGGTTGACAGGCAAGAAGGGACAAGTATGAGAGYGGCACTGTGATTGTCAGAGGGGGACAGGCTGAGTGGGTCAGGAATCATGGCAGGTGGATGGGGAAGTCTTCCATTGTTTAGTGAGAAATTAAAGCAATAAACCATGAGAGTATAATGGCTCCCCCACGAATAGGGGGAATGATTAACAGGCAGTAGAGTGAACATCCCTACTCCAGTTATTAGGGCAGTCAACATGCCCACATTTTCTGTAGTGTTACAAAAGGCTGTGGCCCTGCAGTGGTTTCTGCTAGGCCTGCGTTTACTCACAAGTTCCTGCGACCTGTCACTTCAAAGTACCTCCTGTTCTTAATACAGTACTAAATGTACCATTATAAGAATCCAGGCCTCTCTTTATAGCATTCACACCTGAATTTTTATTTCCAAAATGTGCTCTGACTTTTCCAGAAGATACTCATGGGCCTTTGCAGTCTGGTCCGTGGCAATCAGAAGCCTCCTGGCTCTGTGTTCAGTCCTCCCCCACCACTACTATGGAGGGCCTCCCAGGGGTGTTAGGAGACAACGGCAGTGGTTTAGCACCTACTGTCCTGGTCCCAGAAAAAGATGTAAAATTTCTTCACATATGGTACATATACATGGATTTGTAAGCCTCGTGTTTAAGGATGTACCTTAGAGCTGGCTCAAGCTACAAGGACCTGAAAAAGCAGTAACTGGGAAAGACCAGTAAGGTGCAGATTAATAGAGAAAGGGACACATTCACATATCAAGTAGATTCAAGGCACTGGGCTGGATGGGGCTGGTGGAGGTGGGACAGAATAGTCCTCACCCTTGAAAGGCTTTCATTGTGGTAGATGTGCAGTGTTCAACAAGAGAGAGAAAGAGAGACAGACACACAGACAATGTGTGGGTTGTGGGCAGTCCGGAGGGGCTGAAATTTTTCTGTGAAGGGCTAATATTTATCTGACCCTGAAGGAGGAAGTAAACTTACGATCAAGTTGGGTTGAGGAGTTTTGGATTGCAGAGGCATCTGGAGGTGGGGAAAAACCTGCTCCTGTTTTTTGAGGGGCAAAGAGGAGTCCTCTTAACCTGGAAGGTGAAGAGAGARTGGGAGAGCAAGAGCTGAGGCAGAGGGTGGAGCCTGCTGACAACGTGAGGCTTCTGGTGGGGCCTTTGATAGTAGTCTTCTCCTCAGAGCCCGCCTTGGCTTCCCTGTGCTGATTCTCCCGCCCCACAACCAAGACCTCTCTGMCACAGAGCCATGCCTCAGGGCTGTGCACACATCTCTGCCCGTCTCTCTGTCTGCCCCGACCTAGTTGTATCCCCATTAGACKAAAATTTCTTTGAAGCCAGGGACTGTTCTTGGTCACCCTCGTGGTCATACTTTCTGGACCACTACACTTGGGGGAGGGCTGCTGGTTTATTTGAAGGGGCCCGGAAAAGGAACCAGATGACTGTTGACAGTGCTCTGTAAGTGAGAGAAGAGAAGCAAGTGGGTGATTAAAGAGCCTCAAAAGAGTGGGAGAGCCTTACCCTTCTGTCAGCTGATGAGGGTGTGAGATCAGCACACAGGATGGTAGGGTATGGTTGCCCTCTGTCTGCTCAGGGCCACAGGTCTGTGCTCTGTGTGTGTGTGTGTGTGTGTGTGTGTGTGCGCGTGCGTGCACCTGTGTGAGTGCGTGTGTGCATGAGTGTACACCCATCCTCTTTCACACACATCCCCTCTCACATGCAGAGGTACACAAGCCCCCTCTGTGCCCTTTCCACCAGTGGACAGTATTGTTGCCCCCCTCTTTGGCTTTACCACCCAACCTGGTTGCCATGGGTGCTGTGGGGACTCAGATTATGTCCYCATATGATCCGTGTGATGTTTCATTCATACGTGCTCATGAACGTCTGCCCCTGCCTGCTCTGTCCAGGGGTATTTTAGTGACGCCTGGAATACGTTTGACTCCCTCATCGTAATCGGCAGCATTATAGACGTGGCCCTCAGCGAAGCCGACGTGAGTATGAGCCTGGTGTGGCCTGCACCCTCCTCTCTCCTCTGTCTGCACACTCTGCTCCCTGCCCTGCAGTGGTATCACCTGGACAAGTCACAGATCCCAATTGTACTCGATTCGAAACTGAGCATTTCCTAAAGGAAAGCTGTGGGAAAGACCCCTGTAGAGTAGAGCCTTCACCCAAAAGGCCTTTGCAGACACAAACCACCTTTGCAGGGCTGACTTTCTGGCCRCACTGACCCCAGGCACTGGTAGGCAAGGTAAGCTAGGGTGTCTCTAATTGTTTTTATTTGCTGTGTCAGAAGTGATACCCAAAGGGATATATCTACGACATGTTTGTCTTAGGGCAGTTTTTCAAGTAGCTGAGTAGCATAACGCCRAGATGTTCCCCTTCGATAACACTGTCCTTTTCTCTTTTTTCCTGTTGTGCTTCTTCTCCTCTGTGGCTTCTGAATGCTTGCCCTAACAGCACTATTTCACTGATGCATGGAACACTTTTGATGCCTTAATTGTTGTTGGTAGCGTCGTTGATATTGCTATAACTGAAGTGAATGTAAGTAGCAAACTTTGTGTCCTACCATGTGATTGTTTTCATTAAGTCTGACATAGAAGAGACTAGAAGCTCCCCCCTCCTGCCCCCATGAATATCCAGCCATTCTGGAAATCCAGGCACAAATTCTTGTTGCAAGATGTGAAGGCCCTTTATAGGCTCCCCTCCCCCACCTCTGTCTTCTTCTCCTGAAGAAGTGGGACAGTAAACCTGGAATTTTTTGTTTTGGAAAGAGAACGATATTTTTAAAGATCTTTATATTAACATTTTAAGGGCTAGGAGTTGATCGTATGTGTAATGTGAATGCCGCCAATCACTAGTTGTGTGATCTTGGCAGGTCACCTAACTGCTTTGTGCCCCAGTTTTTCCAGCTATAGAATAGAGTTAATGTATGCCCTTGTGCCCACAGTGTTTTTGTGGAGGCGCAGAAGGGAGACCCCACAGCCACACCTGAGTATGTTGTGGTCCTTGTCTATACTCTGAGTCTGGCTGGTGACACTGGAGAACCTGCCAGGCTCTGACTCCCCAAGGGGTGATGCTGGTAGGACCGGGGCAAGGAGGGCCTGCTGCTTATTGGGGAGAAGGTCAGTACTCCTTTGTCACATGCTGCTGAATCTTGATGAGGGAGCATGTGTATAGCAACTTGCTAGGTGAAACAGGCCTCCTCCACAAGCATCCTGAGAACCCCTTCAGAAGTAAGCAGCTTGAGAAGGGGCGCACCACTCCCATCTGGCTCCCGTGGTCTTACCCACACCCCAACTGAAGGCCCAGGCAGGCAGAAAGGCCCTGCTACCTGGTCTGGCCCCAGTCCCTCAACAAGTCTTAGTGGGTGTCCAGTGTGTGTGCCCTTTGAGGGGACAAGCAGAGTAAGGGCAGGGACTGTTGTGTAGTCTTGTCTTCTGCTCCRTGTTGCCAGTGCAGCCCTGCCCCTCCCAGTGTTCTGCCTGGCTGACCTCTCAGAGTTGAGGATTCTTGGGTCCATCCTGGTGCCCAGACAGCCTGTATATCAAATGAGGATGGTGAAACCCCTCTCTGTCCCTTTATGAGGCCAGGCTGATTCTGTAGTGTGACTAGTGGGATAACCACCAGTCTGGCAATCACAAGACCTGGCAGTTCAAGCCCTACTTCACGCCTGACTTGTTGGASCCAGACCTCAGTTCCCTCATGGGTCCTGTGGATTGAGTGAGGCCCTCCCTGCCTCACAGGTCTGTTATGGAGATAAAATGATCTGAATATTCATAAACATACTTGCTAAGAAAACAAAATGTTAGGGAGATACAACAGTACTATTGTAAGTACAGATTTTCCATGTGATAAGTGAAATGGACTTTAAGATGTTGCCATGTCCAAGAAGGTATGATTCAGACTTTGTCACACCCATGTCCACGTCATGACAGGATTCTGGAATGGTATTTAGCTAGGCCTAGGCATAAACATCTCCCCGCCTCCTTAAGTCCAGACTTATGTAAATTCTCCTTTGTGTGACATATTCCATAAGGCAGCTATAAAATGGCCATTCGGGATAAGATTCATAAATGAATCTTAGTTATAAAATAGACTGGGCTGCCATGGACACAAGTTTATAGCTAGACGTCTGCCTGCTTAATCATCTCAAGTATAAAGTGCCTGCCACATATATAAGAATTCCAAAACAGATCCTAATGTAGTGGGACTGGGACAGAGAYGGCCTATGATGAAAGTGAAAAAATTCAAGAGCTCTCATCCCAGCCAACCTCCTCAGRGCACGTGGGGCCTATAGTGCTGCAGCACTGGACGGTGTAAATGCTTAGTTTCTGGGTACCAGGATGTAGCCAAGGTTGTTCACCAAATGGGCACCTCGCTTCCTTATGCTGCCCCACCTGCTAGCTGGCAAAGTGGCACCGTGTGTCCAGGGCAGCACCTGGCTTCCTGGCTGCTTCACATGTGCTGGGGGCCAGCTCCTCCCACCATACCTGTCTCCCCCTCCCCTGGCTCAGCCTCACCCATCAGTGTCTCAGTGTTGTCCTGCTTCACTGTGCATCAGGAAAGGGCCAGATGACCACTCAGATTTCTAGGTAGCAATTGACAATTGAGTATCTGTACAAGACAGGCTTCTGCGGGACCTCTTCATTCCTGGCATTAGTGAGCTTTTTAAAATCACTAATGCCAGGAATGTCCCTAGACTTTGCTCTCAATCAGTGACCTTTTCCCTGCTCAGCTGTACCCTGAGACCAAACACTGCTCAGCCATGCCACATTAGTTTCTTGCCCTGGGCTGGTATAGTACCATCTGGAGATCTCAGTGTTTCTCCACTGAGCTTTGGCACAGAGGAAGTGCTCAAGGCCACCTCATTTATTTAATCTTTCAACACACATTTCTTGAGCGTCTACCATTTGTAGGCCCTGAGCTAGGCTCTGGAAAGACCCAAAGATAAAAAGACTAGATATTCTTAACCTCTGATGGTATAAATACATGAGAACAGGACTGTTGATTCCCACAGGCTCCCTACCCCCATKCCTATGGCATTCTCCAGGGGAGCAATACATGTCACACCTTGGTGGCCTTGTCCCCTGAGCTCCTGGGTCACCTGAGCATGAGCACTCTTGGTCTGTGTTGGCTGGTTTTAGCTTCCATATGTCATCATTTTTTGCAATGCTTAATCTGCTGTACTCTCTCCCCCAAACTCGGTTGATCTTTCTTTTCTGTTTCCTAATTGATTTTCATGTTGGTTTTATTTTTAGAAAATTGTAGCGGCAAGTATATATAAACATATATACGGTGAAGTGATTAAAGCTAAAGCACTTCTAGAGACTGTATTCTTGTTTTTGACTTCCCACCTTTGGTTTTCACTGAGTTTCACAGGACATGCTAAGGATCAGTCACGGTCATCTAAACTGTTTCCCTCCCATACATGCATTGCTGTCTCTGGCCAGAGCCTGAGCTTGTGCCTTCTTGGTCAGTCACACTTGGCTCTGAGACTTGCCAATCCAAGAATCAATTTTCTGGCCTGGAAATGAGAAAACAAGCTTGCAGTTGTATTCCTTGTTAAAAAAAAAAAAAAAAAAATTGGATGGCCCTTTGCATTGTCCTGCATGCATGCTCACCCAGTGCTCTCTGTTCTGTCCCCTCCACCCACACACACCCACCCTGCTTTTCATGGTTTGACAGCTTTCATAGTCTCGTCTCCTTCACATTTGATCATAACATCACCAAGCTGCTAAAATATTGGACAACAACTGGTAGGCTCACTTCTGCTCCCTCCTGGATGCTTGTTTGTTTCTTGAATGGTAAAATGACCCAGCAGTCCATTTTTATGACCCAGAGATTGTTGTCACCAACATTCTGTCTTTCTCCATTGTTACTGCATGGGAGGCAACAGCTTGTTTAGAAATCATAGCTGCCTTTGCTTATCAAAGGGTCTGTAAAGAGCAGGAGCTTGCTCTCAGGACCCAAGGATTGTCCCTGGCTTGTCAGGTGCTCAGTTTGGACCAGGTCACTATAACTTCACTCAGCTTCTTGTCTTGACCCCACAGTTAGGCTGCCCAGCTCCCCAACTCCATATACTGCCCCTGTCCCAGGAACCAGGTAAAGAACATAACCTCTCAGCTCCTGAGGTAGTCTCGTCCCAGTCCTGAGATGATGGTGAAATCCCTGCTATTAAAAACTGATCACCCCATCTGCAGGAGGACCTGTTCCCTAGGTAGCTTTTCAAAAATGGCCTTCTATCTCATGACCCATGGACAGTCCTAGGAGTAAAGCATAGTGTCAGCTTACTTGTGTCCCATCTCCATCAGCTGCTATAATTCCCAGGCTTCCAACCCTTCCACAAGGAAGGTGGAGAAGAATTTCTAATATCTGCATCCAAGTACCAAGCCGCCATCAACTCCAAAAGAAGCCTCTGCCCAGCTGTAACAGCCTGTTTGGGCTTTTCTAGTGGCCTCACTCTATGACCACTCTGCTGATGTGAGCTGTGACAAATGCTTGGCCCAGCCCTTACTCTGGGCTAAGCAGTACTGAAATTCTCAGCTCTGGGGGCACATTAGARTCACTGATGTACTTGTTAAAATCTCCATAGTGCAGGTAGACCCCCTGATCAATAATAATAATAATAAAGTCTTTGGGTGGGACCTGGGCATCAGATTTTGTGAAAGGTCCCAGGTAGTTGGTGTGCAGCCCAGGATGAGAGCTGGCCTGCCCTTTCCATTGGGCTGACATTTGTTGTTTGGGAAAAGCTTTTCTCAGTGGCATTCCAGTTGGGAAGATATTTTGGCAACTTGAACTGTCCTCCCAGTGCCGCCAGCTATCCCCCGCCTTGAAGCAGTTCTGTCTGCCACTGGCCTGTGGTGGGAGGGGGTGATGTCRCAGGCCACACTGGGGGTGCATGCAGCCTGGTGTGCTGTTTGTCCGGCCCTTCCTCTCTGGCATGTTGTGCTGTCTCAGACCTCAACAAACACTATCTCCTCCTCCTCTTGGTGTTTTAAAATGAGAGTTCGGACTTCACAGTCCCTGACTTGTCACAATTCAAAGATGTCAGTTAAAAAATATACACCTTGAAAGTCACTTTGGCTGCCAGCTTTCACCTACACAAAGMAGGATAGTGGCAAGCAGAAGACGGGGGCCAGAAGTGTCTTCTCAACCAACACCTCTCCTTGTGGTCTATGGGTCCAACACATTGTGGGGCATTTCAGTATTGTCACTGTAGCATTCTGTCTTCTGCACACTGGTCCCCTGAGCAGAGGCGAGCAGAGGTGTGTATGCATGCTCACACACTCACGTACACACCCCAGCTGTGTGGGCAAGAGTGACGTCCCCCTCGGGGAATGATGTGGGAGACGATGAGAACTTTGTAAAACAGGTTTTTTGGTTTTTTTTTTAAGTCTTAAGTTTGAAAACATGAGCTGTCACTGTAAGGATGTTTGTAGATAATAGAGGAAAATAAAAATATTGACCCTGGATTTTGACGAGCCATTACCAGCTTCCCATCCTAAGCATCCCAAGGTGGAGCAGTGACCCTTTCTGACTATCAGACCTGTTCTTGGGTTCAGACCCCTTGTTCTCCATGAGTGTAACAGAACTTTCTGTTTGGTGTTGGGAGGCAGCCCTTGATGAGAGTGAGGCTTCAGAACCAAGCCTTTCCTTCCCTTTGTCCCCAGGGGATGAAGCCATCTGAGCGGCATGCACACATCCCTTAGGTTGATAGGCATACTGGACAGAAAGCCTTTTTTTAGAAGCCCCAACCAGATGAACCTCTTTCCTTTCTGTCAACTCCTGGGTAGACCTGCTGCTGCAGTGGAGGTGGCAGCGCTGCAGGGAAAAGAGACTGTCACATCCCAGTTCTGCTTCAGTTTAGAGTTACTGTTTAAAGATGCCTCCGGGGATAGGCGAGAGTCTGCCTCTGCCAATGTCTTACATTCTTTTCAACACTTAACAATTGATAGGTGCCTTGCTGGGCACTGAGTGGAGTGAGGCAAGGCCCCTGACTTCCCTTGGGGTGAGGAAACCAGGTGAGRATCAGCTGTAAGAGTCTGCATCCTGGGGCCTGGTGACAGGAGCCCAGCCAGCCCTGGGATAAGGTGGAATGGCTGAGCTTGGGGCAAGCTGGTCCTCCACAGGGTCCTGCAGGCCTGGGCTTCCTTGCATCTGAGCAGTGTAAGCTATAAGTCAGACAGTGCAAGCCTCTGGAACCAGTCTGGTCTTATTCTGGCCAGTCTGGTCCTGCTCCTAAGCAGCCCTGTCAGAGGCCATGGTGGGAGGCATTTGGTCCTGTGGGAAGGCATGTGGACCCCAGGCAGGGCCACTGTTTGCCAGTGCAGCTGGAGTTGTCCTGTTGCTTAGAGTTAAAGGTGGCTGCAGAACAGTGGGCTTCTCTGAGCTAAGAGAAGCGGAGGCACCCTCTGTGCTTCTGACTTTAGGGACAGCTGAGGTCTGGCAGCATTATCTTTTACTGTTGTCTGTCAGCCGGGACCTKATGTCCCTGGATATAAATTAGAAAACAGTAGTTTGCACCCTGCCGATGGCTGCCCATCCAGTTAGAGTCACTGGCGTTTTCTCAGGGAGGGAGCAGGTGTGTTGTCCAAAGACATTAACCACACATTTTTAAAAGGGTGGAATGTTCTGAATCCCTTCTTCCTTCCCACCTGATTAATCCAATTTTTAATGTTTGATTTCTTAAAGCCAACTGAAAGTGAAAATGTCCCTGTCCCAACTGCTACACCTGGGGTAAGATCAGTGACTAGTCCCCAGGGGCTGGGCCTTTTCCTTGAGTTTATTTGACCATGTCGAGTTTTCCACTGGTTTTTTCTGTATTCTCCATGATTGTCCTTCCAGAACAGTGTCTGCAGTGGTTTGCATTCATCATCAGTGTCCAGCACTCTTGGCCAGCCCAGCGTTCTCCTCTAACACAGTAGAACACGTGGACATGCATGTGCTGTGTGGACAGTTTTTTCAAACCTTGTGTTGTTAGCATGTAACTTTTCCTTTCATATCATGCTTTTTAAGGTGAAAAGGCCCTAGAAACACATCTTCAGTTCTTACCTCTGTCACCTTTGCATCTGTTGCTGTTTTTCTGAAAGTGTTGCATGTTCTACTTTCCATTGGGTTTGACCTCTCCATGATAACCCTTCAGAACTCTGAAGAGAGCAATAGAATCTCCATCACCTTTTTCCGTCTTTTCCGAGTGATGCGATTGGTGAAGCTCCTCAGCAGAGGGGAAGGCATCCGGACATTGCTGTGGACTTTTATTAAGTCCTTTCAGGTAAGAGAAAGCCCAGGCTTTCTGTTTCTTTGGGAAGTTCACGTATAGGTCAGTGGTTGTCCCTTGTCCTGGGGGCCCCAGACACATTCTCCTCGCGTTGACACTGTGTGGACCTAGGTGGAATGCTGGAGAGATCCAGCCCAGCACTGCTCGGGTCACTTGCCTWAAAGGAAGCAGAACAGAAAGCAGGAAGGCCCTGTGTCTCAGAGATCTGGAACATTCCCAGGATGGAAAGAGATTTAAGTCTCTGAGCTCCTCAGTATCCCCAGGATGCCCAGTGGTGGTGGTAGTCAGAGAGAGGAGTGGGTCCTGCAGACTTCCTGGAGGCCAACAGCCTCACTCAAAGATGCTTTCTCCTCCTGTAGCTGCAAAGATCCTGTCAGCCAGTCTAGATACAACTAGAAATAATGCCAGCTGGCCAGGCCACTGTTAGGTCTCTGGTTATCCAGTGCCTAYTGGGATTCGAGTTCAGGGCATTTAGGCCTAAGGCAGGTCTCTTTGATTACCTATGATTCCCTAGGCTGGTGCAGCCCATTTCTAGTCTATTCCTGAGCATAATTGGCTTCTCCTCTACCTTCCAGTATCCTACCCCAGATATTCCAGTCTTCTGGATTGAATCAGTTGTGGAGAGGAAAATAAATATATTCCTGGTAAAAGGTGCACCCATTGTAGGGAAATTTTGGATTTATAGAAACATTATAAATTGAACCTTGCTTCTTCATTTTATTAGTCAACTATTTCATCCAAAACTCATAAATAAGTTCATGTGAACAAATGAAGCTTTCCAGAAATACATCAAAAAGCTGAAGTTTGCCTCTCACCCATCTCTGGGGTGACGAGTTTTAACAACCCAGTAAGCATTTTTTGACTTAAGATCTTAACCGGTTAAGGGAAAAAGAGATGGCCCCTGGGGAAAAGGAAAGGTGCAAAAACTCAGAGAAGGTATGTCACAGGTCCTTTGGAAAAGRATGAGGTTGGAGGACTAAGAAGTGCGGCTCTTGGCACTGAGGCAGGGCAGAGTGGGGACCCAGGCAGCCAGCTTCTGTCCAGGGAAGGCTTGAAACCCTCTCCAGCTGTACTTACTCCTGTGTGGACTAACTGCTATAGAATAGAATGAGCTCAGGCAATAATGTCACTCTTACTTTTTAAAGAAATTAGTAAACTTTTTTGAGATTTGATAGATAATCACAGATTACTGATTCACACTGAAAGACTGTGCCAACAAAATGGTTAACTGGTAATCTAGAAGATAAATACAGATTGGTGTGGTGAGAAGAGCCCACAACTAACTCCATGGGACTCTATCAAGCAAGCCAGGGTAGGCCGGCAGTTGGGGTCCACAGCTGGTGCAGGTTTGAAGCTGGCCTGATAGTCTACTAGTTCCTGACTTATCGATGAGCTCTCTCAGATAGGAGAGAAAGAGGATGCTTTCAGTGTGTATACTTGGAATTAAGCACATCACATGGAATTAAGCCCAGCAATGGAAGAACATTGGTTTAAAGAATGGGGGTCTGATCAGACATACACACTTGTGTTGGGTGTTCCTGAAGAGAGCCTAGGCTTGACGATCACCCAGCTATCTCCTTTTCTTCCCACCCTGACTTTGTAATTCCTTCAGAGGTGTACATTTTATGAAAGGTATTTTGCATCCTGTAGCTACCATCAGAAATTGGTTCTTCCCCTCTGACTAATTCTATTTTTAAGACTTCACCCTAAGGAAACGCTTCAGCAGAAGCAAGGTGGAAAATCACCTTGCATAATGATGTTTCTTTGCAACCTGATCTTTGCCCTGTGCAGACTGCCCACAAGAGAAAGTCCAGGCTTCAGAATGACTTGATCTTTAGTAACTTCATAGATGATTCCCATAATGGATTTAAAGCTCAAGAGACTGGTGTTCCTRTGTTGAAAATGTTTAGGGTTAGCATACGTTGTTGACGATGGAGAGTGGTAACACCAGGCATRTAGGGGGTTGGGGATTTGGGACTGAAGTAGTTGTGCTGGACTGGGATTAATATTTCTTCCTCATTCTGTGTTCCTTCACTATACCATGAGGGAAAGAAAAGAAGTGTGTGGCCACTGTGTAGGTCTTCTTGTCGTGCTGAACGGGCAYAGCAGCCCGGTACTGAGTCACACAGTTCCTCTCTTACAGGCGCTCCCATATGTTGCCCTCCTCATCGCCATGCTGTTCTTCATCTACGCAGTCATTGGCATGCAGGTGAGTGCCAGGTGCTTCCTGGGAACCCTTTTTTCAGGGTTGCCCCAAACCTGTGGTATAATGTACCATGGCCAGGAAAAGTCAAGAGATAAATGCATTGGCTTCAAAAGAGATAGGGAGATGAGAAAGATGTGGTCCCTCAGGCAGAAGCTCCTGAGGATGGAGGCTGTGCCAGAGGAAATCAGACATGAAAGATTGTGGAGAGGTGAAGAAGTGACAAGTAAATCTGTGTATTGTGGCATCCCCACCCCCACCCAGTGTCTTGGAAGAATTAGCTGGTTGAGAAAATTCATGGCTCGTTTCAGTGGTGGTGGGTGATAGGAGACCACAGAAGAAGGAAGCCATAATTGTCAACGTGGAAGTCATGTTTTCTGTACTTGTGTAACTCAGAGGAGACTTGGTAATGCAGAAAGTCTGATGATACCCTGAAATGCTATTCCTTATCATAAATGGGATTCTTATTTGAAACAAAATTATTCCAGATTCTTCATTTGGGACTGAACTGGAACCRTTGTGGTACCTCAGCTTTCCAGAGAGTCATGGTACCAGACTCTTTTCTGTGACCATGGTCTAGGGACTGAGCTGCAGCATGCTTCCCATTCCTCCTGGGCTTGAGAAAAGGATTGGGCCTTATTAACAGCCAGGTCCTAACATCAAGTGTGCAGCTGTGGTGGGGGGCTCCATGGGTGGAGGGAAACGGAGAATGATATGTGGCTCTAGATGTCCATGTGGCCTCCTTGGTTCTCCCCTTACAGATGCTGTCTTTCTGATAAGGGAGGAGCGTGAGTAAGAKAAATTGAGGTGATTCTAGGGAGAGAGAAATAGTGGCATTTATTTATTTATTTCCTGGAGACACAGAAGTATTTGCAGGTCTCTAGGAATCTTACCAGGAGTTGGGAAAGGATTGGTCCTACTCGAACCCTTGTAATTGAGCCATGTGTGATGGATGCCATGCATCAGGAAGGGTCTTGTGTAACAGACAAAGAGGTACCTCAGGGCCTGTAAACTACATCACACACCCCACCCCAGGTTCTCCTAGCAGGCTTTGGCCAGTCATCAGGCTCTTCCTAAGCCTCAGAAGAAAAGCTGTTTGCTCACTGGCCACTGCCCTGGAGGTGCAGCTCACTCTCCTTCTGGAGGGTTGCAGGCTCCTGCCCACTGGCACCCCATTTGTGCCCAGCCTGATATTTCATTTATCTACTTGCCATTCTTCTTTTCATTCCCCAGGACACCTGTGCTGTGTCACCTTTGCCCCTTTGCAGGTGCTGGTCCTTGTGCCTAGAGCACTCTTCAGCTTCTTTCACAGACTTCTGTGAAATAAGTAGACAGACTTCTACATATTCTTCATTTATAAGTGTAAATGTCACCCCCACCCCTCATGATCTTTCCTGACCCCAAGTCCCTGGATTTGGGTAGATGAGCCTGTTCCCCACTTCCCTGTGGGTCTGGACCGTCCCACACTCACCATGTGAGCTTGTCATTGCCTGGTTATCTTTGTAGTCTCTCCCCAGAGCAGGGACWCCTTAAAGATGAGACTGCTTGTCTGGAGCACCATGTGCTCAGTGTTTAAGCTAGTACCTGGCACCTGGGTGTGCCCAGAAGATCTTTGATGAATTAACAAAGTGCCAAATCCTGAGAAAGCCCCAGTTGGTCAAATCTGTCTTCATCCTAAATTCATGAGTGTTGTTGGTTTTTTTTTTTTTTAATGTGACTGTTAGTCAGCTTTCTGTCACTATAATGAAATATCTGAAACTTAGAGAAGGTTTATTTTGGCTCATAGTCTTGGAGATTCTAGAACATGATCCATTTGGCCCCACTGTTTTGAGCTTGTGGAGAGGCAGCACATCATGGTGGCAGTGAGAGAAAAAGTGGAGAAAAAGCCTATAACAGCATGGCCAGGAAGTAACAGATGAGGGGCCAGGGCCGTGGGGTCCCCTTGGAGAGYACACTCCCAGTGATCCACCGGCCTCCTGCTACACCCCTTAAAGATTCCACCACTTCCCACCWGTGTCACTCTGGAGACCAAGCCTTCGAAACACAATCTTTAGTGGACATTAAAGACTCAAACTGTAGCAATGACAAACTCTATTTTTTTCCTAATAACGTCTCCACCTAGATGTTCGGGAAAGTTGCCATGAGAGATAATAACCAGATCAATAGGAACAACAACTTCCAGACGTTTCCCCAGGCGGTGCTGCTGCTCTTCAGGTGACAGTCTGTGGGTGGTGTTCCTGGGCAGGTAGTGCCAGTCTCTGTCTTTCTCTGGGCTCAGAGTGACATAGGACATGTGTCATATTAGAGCAGTGTACCTTTCCCAATAATCATGATGGCTTTTTGCCTTTGCTTTATATTCTCGAGAGAACTAGCATTTCAGCGACAGAAGGATTTTGTCATATTATTAAAACTGCTGGGGCCATATAGGTTGTGGCTGGGAGTTGGAAGTTTACTTACACCACCAAGAAAATTGTGGAATACCTGTTTATGCATGAAAGCATTCACCAAAACACAACAGGGATGAAAGAAACGAGCAGAAACACAGGGGCCTTTTGCACAGCCAATAGGGAACATACTAAGATGTACAGTTTCAAATTTTATGGAATTGTTTTTGGCCCCAGTTAACTTTGGAAACCAACTATCTTACAGGGAGAACTTTCTAGAAATTATAGAAGCAATTTCTCGTGTCTCCAGCAAGTCATTTGCAAACTGGGTGGTTCTTTCTTTGAAACAAAATTAATCAGGAACGATCTTTTAAAAACTACAAGATGAGTGTTTAAAGTAGAGAAGACACAGAAAAATAGATATTCATTTATAAAAAAAAATTGGTATGCTTATATCAAATGATTGTTATAAATCCAAGAGGCCAATATCAGGACCTCTGTGTGGGAAGGTGCATTTGAAAGTAAGTAGAAATTTCAGATTCTCAGTAATTCAAACTTTTACTTAGTTTGTTCTAATTAGGAACCCCCCCTCAACAGTTTAAGCCTTAAATCTCTCCTTCCCCTACTAAAGCCCTTTCTCGATCTAAAAAGGTGTGCAACGGGGGAGGCCTGGCAGGAGATCATGCTGGCCTGCCTCCCKGGGAAGCTCTGTGACCCCGAGTCCGATTACAACCCTGGAGAGGAATACACGTGTGGGAGCAACTTTGCCATTGTTTATTTCATCAGTTTTTACATGCTCTGTGCGTTTCTGGTAAGCAGTYACCACAGCTCTCCTCCATTTACAGTGCCTGTGTAGCATTTGGGGTTCAGACTAGTGACATTGCCCTGTCAAACTCTGCAGGAAAGTTGAYGTGCCTGGGCGCCTTTGGCAGGGGAGATCTCATTTAATCAGGCACATGCCACTACCACCTTGGTTGTGAGCAGGGATTGGGTGCTCACTAATAAGCTGGGGACAGTTACCAACCATCCCAGCTTCTTGGGGCTTCTGGTTCCTTTCTAAAATTTCAAAGCTTCTGCACATGGCTTTAAGTGACTTCAGAGTATGAGTTACCTGGTGGCAATGAAATTATGAGCTTGCAGTGAGCTTYAGAACACCAGCTAATGCATCCACCCACCCCTCCTGGGATGATTCCAAGCCATCCAAGAAAGCTAAAAGCCTTCCCTTTAAACATCACTCCAAGGAAAAGGGTTTATAGCCCCTTTTGGGTACTTGGAGATGTGGGTTCAAATATCTCATGTCCATGTAATTAGGAGGCATATAGCAGAGTCTAACAGTGCATCCCACTACAGCTGAAGTTCCCCCCTCTGATTTCCTTTTTCAGATCATCAATCTGTTTGTGGCTGTCATCATGGACAATTTTGACTATCTGACACGGGACTGGTCTATTCTGGGGCCTCACCATTTAGATGAATTCAAACGAATATGGTCAGAATATGACCCTGAGGCAAAGTAGGTTTGAAAACAGTCAGTCTGGCTTGGATGGGCTATTTTGGAATGTCAACTGTGACTTTTGTGGAAGGTGGAGTGGGCTGAAATCTCAAGTCAGCTTCCACTGTCCCCTGACCTCATTGTCCTTTGCTTTCAGGGGAAGGATAAAACACCTTGACGTGGTCACTCTGCTCCGGCGTATCCAACCTCCTCTGGGGTTTGGGAAATTATGTCCACACAGAGTAGCGTGCAAGGTGAGCACATTCTGTTTGTGTGTCTGACAGCTTCTCTTGTGGGGCTCACGATTTCAGTCCGCAAACACTCAGTACACTCAGCCAGGCCTGTGTGAGGTGCTGGGGACACAGAATKCCAAGATTCTCTGGACAATTAGAACCCATGGGATCAATATAGATGTATATATATGTATACATGTGTTTGTGTGATGATACGTACCTGTGTATGTACACCAGAGTCATATAATTTGGAARCTGAGAATCCCACAGTCTCATCAGCAAGCTGGAGACCCAGGAGAGCTAGTGGTATAGTTCTGCCCGAGTTCAGAGGCCTGAGAACAAGGGAGCTGACGGTGTAACGTTCAGTCTGAGGGCAGAAGGCTGTTGGCACACAGAATTAACCATCACAAAGGTGCTCCCAAATACCTGCTGAGTTGAACTTGAGGGCTAACAAGAGAAGGAATGAGGGATGAACAGAATAAACACCCCAAAGGGACGCCATTGTCACCCAGCATTGGCTTTCTCCTGAGGAACTTTTCATTCCACTTACAGAGATTAGTGGCCATGAACATGCCTCTCAACAGTGATGGGACAGTCATGTTTAATGCAACCCTGTTTGCTTTGGTCCGAACGGCTCTCAAGATCAAGACTGAAGGTGAGCATTCCCTGGGAGCAGGACAGGTGGCAGAAGGGGAAGGAGTGGCCACCTCTGATCTTTCTCAACTAGGCTTTTTCTAGGTAAAGGGAGCCCCAGGAAGGATCAGGAAGAAGAGTGGGAGTGCCTATGAGCAGGAGGCCACCCTGCCCTCCCTCAGTCCTCCCTGTCCTTCCTATCGGTTTCACTTTGTCCCAGAGTGTTTTGAGTCCATTTATTCTGCTTACTACTATAGCAGGAAAAGTAGGCAAGGTCCAGGGAMAGAGACAGCCATCTCAAGTGGGCTCGCTCCAACTGTCCCTTAATATTGTGTGGTCTGCAGTGAGGAAATCTGCAATTCTGAGCTATAGCTTCTTTCTCTCTAAAAAGAAACTAAATGCACCTATTCCAGGGACAGTCCTCAAGGGGACTGAGGCACTGTCTGAGGAAGCCCCTCTGTACCCATAGCGCACAGTCAGCGCTTGGGGAATACTAGTAGGACCAGCATCTTCCTAGCTGGACCCTCAGCCCTCCCACACTGAGCTCTGTTCAGATCTGGCAAAACAGACCCTGGAGGGTGGCACAGTAGCCACATCAGGGGTGGACTGGAAGGCAGATGGCAGCCTGCTCAGCAGTGAGCGAGAGGAAGGGAGGAAGTGGAGACGTTGAGGGAGGCACTGGATGGAGGAGAGGGGAAAGGAGGCAGCAAGGAGCATGTGCCAAGTGAGGGGACAGATGTTGTGTACAACYCCAGGGTTCTATCTTCTAGTCTAAGGTGTGCCTCCTGTGGCTGACTTGTCTACTTAGCCACAGGCCAGCCTCTCTGAGGGTTCCAGGAGGCAGGATGGTCTTGCATGCCAGCACATTAGGTGGGAAGATGATCCATATATAGGAACATATATAGGAACAGGACAAGATTATATGGCATCTCTGGGTATGTGCAGTAGGAACTGAAAGTTTAGGCTCAGTGACTTCCCAGCTGGGCCCTTGCCTTGGATGGAAGTGGACTGGGGGCAGCCAGTGAAGAGGGAAACGCCTCTGGGCTGGAAGCAGTGGGAGGGGAGTAGGTCTGGGCTGTGGGGGATCAGAGTCCAGAAGTCCTGAATTCCAGAGTAAAACAGGAATGTCCCCACCGTGGAGGGGCTTCCCCCTGGGAGGGCTCCTTTAATGTAGGAAAAACATTTGACCCTGGCTGGGGAGAGCCTATGGCAGGGAGCCTCTGCAGAGGCAGTGTGTTCTTCCAGCCATGCTGGGACTGGGCAGAGTGGCAAGGGCAGGGAGGGGAGTTGGGAAACAAACAAGGCTCGTTTCCCTCTTTTGCTTTTTTTTTTTTTTTTTTTTTGCCCTTACACATGTACTTTTTTTGCATTACAATTCTTATTATAYGTATATACCACAATTTTTCATATCTCTGTATATAAAGTATGTTGACACCCAATTCGCATCTTCATACATGTACTTTGGAATAATGATGTCCATCGCATTCCTCTTTTGCTTTTTGGATTTAGGGAACTTGGAACAAGCTAATGAAGAACTTCGAGCTGTGATAAAGAAAATATGGAAGAAAACCAGCATGAAACTGCTTGACCAAGTGGTCCCTCCAGCCGGTGGTCAGTGTAATCTATTTCCTAAGTAGTTCTCAGCCAGGGCTTTGGTTTAGTGATAGCATCTCCAGAAAGCCCAGACCGTGTTCACAGAATGCTTTAGGTCTCAACATTAGGCCAACACTAGAGAATCCTTGGCCATCCGGAATGATTATTTGGGGGCAATACAAAGACGATTCAGTGGGAGCCTTCAGTGGGGAGGAAACCAAGACTCATGTGGCTGGAGCAGGGGTTTGCTCGTTGGTGGAAGAGATAATGTTAGAGAATAAGATTGCTATTACAAATGAAAATCCTAAAATATATATATATTTCTTTTGTCCAAAAAGAACTAGTCAAAATAAGTTTCCAATTATCCATCAGTATTTTGTTGAAAACTCATTAAAAAAAATGGGTAGTTTTCAGGAAATGGTAATTTTGAAATGTTCTTATCAAGACTGAATTTACCATCATAATTACCAATAAAGTAGAATTTATCCCCAGCACTACAAATAATTAGAGACAGAACTAACAAGCATGCTTATTTTTCTTTTGTTATTTATCACAAATTAACTGACTAAACTTTTTTGAATTTATATATATATAAAACGTCTACCTATTATATATATATACATATATATGTGTACTGTTTTTCCATTTTCATTTAAGTACACGTGGACTTAGAAATTGAGGTGGTTGTTTTCAGACCGTTTTGTTTTCGAGTTTTAAAGGTGCAGGATCTGCTTACCCAGTGCCACCCCGCCAGCATTTCAGCCACCCCTGGCCTGGGCAGTCTTCATTTTGGGGGGGGGGGGGTTATAACCAGAGAACCTTTATGGTATCACTGCCCCAGCCGCTTTCGAGGCTGGTCTGGCTCAGGTGTGGAATCYGACTCCAGAATCTGGGCCAGGATTGTAGCCAGGGCCGCTCCCTCTGAGAAGGTGACAGCCTGTGGCTCTTCGGGGGACAGAGAGCACATGTTGGCCAGTTCCGCTCCCTAACTTGCTTCTCGTGGAAGCAGTATGAACTTTCATTACTGAAGAGAGCCGCCCGCAGCTGGAATGGCCACTGGCTCAGAGATGGGGAGAATGGGCCGGAAAGAAATGATAAAAGGAAATGAAACAAAGTTCCCACCCCAAGAACCCCTGCCCACGGGAAACCGATGCTGCACATTTAAAACTCCTCTTTGGTTTTTGTTCTTTTCCTTTCAGCTGCATTTCCAAGTGCTCGCATGGCTTAGATGAAGTGCTTTTTTGAACTGTTGTAACAATGTGCTTGAGCTTTCTCTGCAGCCTCCATTCCTTTCAACTCTCAGTCTTTCAGAATATTCTGAAGCAATTCTGTTTTAGGGTGGTGGCATGGAATCAGAGTTATCTCTTGCCAACTGTATTCCCCTACGATATTTCTTGAAATACTGATGCATGCTACAGAACAGCAGGCCACACCTGTCTATGTACATGTTCCCCATGGGAGCCCGAGGACTCRCTCCTCTCTCCTTCTACCTCACATCTCTTGAAATGCCATTTTCAGTAAGACCAGTCTTACTCCCGAATTAATGCCCATCCATCCCCCACGAGACACACTTGGAGAAACTTCATTTCTTTCCATCAGAAAAAAGTCCAGAATTTGGTTCAGTCTTGCTTGGAAAAGCTGATCAGCTTTTAGTCCCACTAAGCTTCCCATTGAGGCTAAATATTCTTCCCCTTTCTTTGTCCATAGCTGGGCCTGGATTTCTCTATTTCTCTATTTGGATCGGGTTTAGGCTGTCGGTGTTATTCTGTTCCACAGTGGTAGCAAAAAGCACTGTGATGCCTGAGAAGGAAGGATTGTGATGCCTGAAAGGAAACAGAATGTTCCCGAGAGTCCATGCAGTGTTGAATCTCATGCCTACTATAGTGCTTATCAAGGCTTAATCTCATATAAGCACTATTGCCACCAGAGATTGCAGGGACTCTCAGGCATCAGTGGAAAGTTCTGGATAGGACTTTATTATCTTTGTCATTTGTTTGTATTTCCTTTTATCTTCCAATAGACCAGTGCTTACCACCCTTTCCTGTGTTGTGACATGCTTAGAGAGTGATCATGTGTACATTGCTCCAGGCAAAACAGATGAGTAGCTCCAGAGGGTAAGGATGTTGCTATCCCCCATGCCATACCCTGATCAGAGAGCACCAGAGTGAGCAAGGTCAGCCTCTGCCCCTGAGTGCCTGAGACTGGCTAATGTGGAGTGTCGGGGCGCCCCTCATGACCCTGGTGACACAGCAGAGTGGGATGTTTGTCTTAGAAGTCTTTTCTGGTGGGAAGGTGATGTGAGACATCACTAGGTTATCAGGAGATTCATAAAAAGGTGATGTCAGGAATGAGCYACGAAGTACATGTTGGGACCTTCCTTTCCCACTCTTGGAACCCAGTGGTCTCCAGCGACAGCCTGACCACTCCCTGGTCATCAGTGCTGAGCTACCTCAGCTTGGAATCTTGGCTGAGATTCCCACCTTCCCTCTTCAGTCTCCTCTGCCATCCCATGGACTGCCTGCTTTCTCTTGAGAAGCTTTCTCTCCTCCCCAAAGACCCTCCTGCCTTTGAACCTTCATTCCTTGAGCTGTATCTTTAGCTCCTTGGTAGCAAAGAGCACCCTGAGCTGACCCCATCTCTCTCCAGTCCTGGGCCCAGAAAGTCTCACTGCATTCTTTCTTTCTGTTCTTTCTGTCTCTRTCTTCCTAAACAGTGACATTACTTGTGCTTAAAAACTCTTCTCTGGGTCCAGTCTCCCAATTACCTCAGCACCTCAGTGGAGATGACCAAATGGCCCTCGAATCCTGCCCTGCAGAGCCTTGAGAGGGCCTGCCTCTGCTCTGCAGGCTGAAGAGAGATAAGGTTTAGGCCTGTGTTTGCAGGAAGCATCCTGGTGTGGAATGTAGGTAGAGCCACTATTATTCCTGGGGACCCACAGAGAGGACTCGGAAGCCTGGAGTAAAGGACAGCTGTGGCATGGCAGCAGGAGAATCCCCCGGGGCCCCCTGGATGAACTAGCTGGGCAGCCCAAGAAAGGGATAAACTTGTACTATAGGAGAGGCAGCTCCAAAGAAGCAGGTGGCCAGACCTGGGCTGTCTGGAGGGAGATGGCGTAGAGGAGAGGACCTAGGCTCAAGGAGAACCATTGCCCTGGATTCGGGTTCTGGCTAGACTGACCTAAGCAAGTCATTTAACCTGTCTCTAGCTGTCAGGGGCTGGAGGTGAGCACATCCACTGTGCCAGAGTTGTCATAAAAAGGACTGGAGACCCATGTGGAACTCCCCAGACAAGTGGTGTGGCACCTATAGGTGCCCGGCCACAGGGACCAGCTAGAGCTCATATTCTAAATGCACCCTGCACCAAATGGGCGGAGACAGGAAAGCAGAGCAGGGAGTGAGCTGTGAGCCCTGAATGGCCTCTGCTTACCTCTTGACTATGGATGGTGCCTCATGAGACAGTGTAGACAAACCCAAGACCCGTAAGGCCCATGTTCTTATGGGCAATGCAGAGCCCAGGGTTTATGTTGGCGGCCCCTGCACCACTCCAGGACTTCCCTCGTGAGGTTTAGGAGGAACATATCACTTCTCAAGCCAGAGCAGCCTCTGGCAAGGAGGGCTAGAGCAGCCAACCAAAAGAGATGGAAATGATCAGGGGTGGGACCTCCCCGTGGGCACTGAAGGAAGCCCATCCAGAATACATTAGTTGATGTGGGGGTCCCAGTGACCGCCACGTTGTCCTGCTCTAGGATGCACTTCAGTGGGTGCTGCTGGTGGTGGTACACAGTGCTCAGACCCGAGTTTGACTCAAGCCCGGGGCCTAAGTGCCTTGTGTCTGCCTCAGCAGTCCTCTCCTGTAGGAGACTTATCTCTTACAGATGAGAACACAAGCTCAGACAGGTCGAGCCCATTATCCCCATCAGTAGGTGACTCTTGCAAGGACAGCCTGGCCTAAAGCCTGAGGACCTGCAGCCATTCCCCCTCTTAGCCTCTGAGAGTCATATTCTGTGGTCTTCAGTCCCCCATTACGCGCCACCCCACAAAAAGGTGGCCTTTGGCTTTCCACCCAGGAGACCTCAGCACCTCAGAAGCTGGTGGCAGGTACTCCTGGGAGACCTGGGGGCACGTGGACATGTCCAGGGTGGTTTACCTTGAGACAGCCAGAGCCTCTATTCTGCCTCATGCATCACCTTTTAAATTGTCAGCGGGTTCTGATTCCCCAGTGATACACGTTGGAGGTTGTTTTTGAATAAAGCAGAAATAAGCCCAGCTCCACTCTGAGGCTAGTTGGAGCTGTCACTGCAGAAAACTGGCAATTCTGAACAGAGGATGGGGGAGCCTGTGAAAATCTAGATCTGCAGTCGCTTTCCTGAACCTTCCTCTCCTTCCAGGCTTTTCTATGTCATCTTTCTAGGTCTCTATTTTAAGGCATAGGGATTTGGGTGGTTAATTGCCATTGATGTTTATGGTAATTACACATGCAAATCCCTATGCACAGGGGTGAAAACATGGCCCCACTAAGCCTTTTTTGTTTTGTATCTTTTATTTTAAGCAAATAACCAAGATGGCATTTCACAGTGTTACTAATATGCTGCGCTATTAAACTCATAATGAATATATTACTTTCTGCAACTTTTGAGTCTCAGTTCATTAACAGACACTAGTTTTGAGCCTTACCTGCTTTGCAAAGCCTTGCTTTTTGCTAGATTGAGCATCCCCTGTTGTAGGCTGAGAGCTCGGTGCCTTCCGCACCATCCCGCCCCACCACCCCTGCCCCAGCCAGAAGCAAGTGTTTAGGCTCTTGGTCCAAATGTGCTGATTCGGGAGAGCTATGTCTGGTCTCTCCGTTTAGATGATGAGGTAACCGTGGGGAAGTTCTATGCCACTTTCCTGATACAGGACTACTTTAGGAAATTCAAGAAACGGAAAGAACAAGGATTGGTGGGAAAGTACCCTGCGAAGAACACCACAATTGCCCTACAGGTGAATTGTCCTCTTGTTTTGTTCTCTCTTTTCACTAACAATGTTACGAGCTTATTTGAAACACTAGAGAGCTGACCATTCATGGTTGAGCAGTACCACAAGGATTTTGTTTAAACTGGGATACTGCACACTCCCCCAAATGTGGACTGGCCATTTCTGGGCCACAAGGTAAGTGCTTCCTCCCCTTGCCTTCTCCACTGTGCCTTGCACCTGCCACCGCTGGCCCATGTGCAGGGCCCCCAGGATGGCCATGGCAGGAGAGGAGTGAGTGCTGCCCTCACACCCGGCCCCCTCCAGTCTTCTCCAAAGGCAGTGTCCTCCAGGCAGGCACACCTTCCCGACAGCCCTGCGCTCAGCTCAGGGTCCGGCTGCCTAGTGAACAGCTTTCCATCTGAACGCAAGTGCTTTGTTTTGTTTCTGTTTGTTTCTTACCCCACTGCTTGTTGGTTTTTGGTCCATTTCAGTAACATCCATCACTTCCTAGTGTGTACTGTGCGTGTGTGTGCGCGCTCGCGTGAGTGCATGCGTATGGTGTGTCTGTCTCTGTGTGTTGTCTTCTGATGGCCATGAGGCTTGCTGTGCAAATGCTGCTCTTGCATCCAGGCCAGCCTTGGGCCCCTCTCCCCTCCTCCAGCCCAGGCCCCACCCTAGGTCCTGCCTTAGGCCCCTAGACATGTGAATGTGGTATAAGGAACCTCAGTATCCATGTATCTAAGGGTTATAGAATCCTTGGGAAGCCCAGAGCTCTGGGTGGGAAGCCGGTGTGCAGATGGGAAAGGAGTTAAAATGGAGACTTGCAGGAAGGGGGCCTGGGAAGAGTGGTCTGTGGCCAGTGATGGGGAAAGCAGGGCAAAGAGGGATGGGAAACTGCAAAGGTCAGCAAGCGGTCAGCAACCAAGCCCCATCATCTCTGCTACCTGGAGTGCTTTAAGTACATTGTGAGTAAGATGAATTTCTCCTCTTTTTTTTTTTTTTTTTTTTTTTTTAGTTTATGCCAAAATTACTTTTATGGCCCTATTGTCACATGTCTCAAATGTGACCTCACAGGTGTTGATAAGGTTCACCCAGCCTTGTTCTGTGTTCTAAGTGATGGTAATTATGGAAGTGAAGGCTTGTCTGTGATATTGTGAGAAAAACTGTGAATGAGAATGGTGGTGAATGAGGAACATGGGGAGCATGTGTATGTGGTAGGCTAGCGATGACCTTGCATGACAGTGATGGCTGATTCCTGAAATCTGTTTGGCTCAGCCAGCCATACGGTGGGCTTACTGGTGGGGCAGGTGGATGCTGAATCCTACTGAAGACAATCTCTGATCTTCTTGCTCTGATCATGTATCCTTTTGGTAGCTCAGCAAGCGCAGGTTCAGTCACATGGCTTCTTGCTGTCTCAGGTCAGAGGATCTGAGTTAAGCCATTTTACCTGTGTTCTGCTGATCTGGTTGGCCCTTCTCCTGGATTGCAATTCACAGCTAGCCTTTAGGCAAAGCGAACTGAAAAGAAGGTGTTTTCTAATTGAAACAGGTCTCTGGTTCATACATTTTGGGGGGGCAGAATGGCTATGTCAGCCTCCCGCAGAAGGAGAGGTTAATATGCTTTTGGAAGACTCTTCCCTTGGTAGCCCTTACCCAGAAGAGGAGGCTGGCCAGATTTCTGAGATCAGTGGGTACCTTCTGCTTAGAGGGAATTGCCGGCTGTTCTTGAAATTTAGATGGTGGGGTCAGAACTTGACTTTCTAGAGGAGAAGTACATCTTTCATCGATGGCATGTGTCAGAATTTATGGTAATCAGCTTAGCTCTGTCATGGAACTTCAATTTTCTGTGAAGRGCGTGGAGGACAAACACTTGGGTGCAAGGTTATTAATATTCCGAACCCCCAAGACTTCCCAGTTAGACGGTTTCAGCACTTGCTCTGGGGCTAGATGTAGTGTTTGCTGTTCTAAAACATGCATCAACAACACATGGCTGAGTAATCACATTTCACCTACGGGGTTTACTGAGTCTTGAGCTAAAGGTCCAGATGGTGCTGACACAGCATCATCTTAACCCAGGATTCTGGGTTAAAGATTCTATGGCATGTTGTTCACATAATGTCCAGGGTTTTTAATCTCCTAAATGTTTTTCATTTTCTAGGAAGTTTCATTTCTTGAGTGAAATTCAAATTAGAACTTGAAGTTATTCAGTATTGCAAGCTAGACGCTACCAACACATTTTCACACGGCTCCTTTGGGATTGGAGGCTAAGTCTATAATTTATGTTGAGTACACAGCGTAGACAATTAAGTTGTGTTCATAATCTTAACAGATAAATTCTGAAATGCATTTGACTCTGAAGCAAACATTAAAATAGTTTTTTTTGTCCCTTTGAAGGATAATTCTAATTACATTTTTGGCTTCCTCTGCTGTAGAAAGGGCTCTAAATGTGAATTGTTACTCCATGGTTAATTAGCATGAGGGGGCTTTCCTTCCTCATGATGAGCTACTCCTTAACAATGTAGCAGTGGGGGAGAGGGGGTCAGCGTGGGAGGAGTGTGCTGACTGCTCCGCTAGGATGAGGTKTGCTGACTGCTCCGCTAGGATGAGGACACCGGTCTCTGGGAAAGTCCCTGAGGGTGGGCATGCCTGTGGGGAGGGGGCCACCTGCTGCTCCAATGTTGGGGCACCATGGCTCACCGACTGAATGCTGGTGGGAGTGTGGCATCCGTGTGAGCAGCGTGCATGCTGGTGTTGTRGAGAGTGCGGTCACTGAGCTTTGAGAACTGGGCACCCCCGGGCACACAGAAGCGCGTGATCTTGAACCCCGTGGGCTCYGCCTGATCTCCCTCTGTTCAGACCAACTGCAGACTTGCCTTCCCCGCTCGAGGGCTCGGCTCGAGGTGCTCCCACCTCCAGGCGCTCCCWCCTCCGGGGAGGGGCTCGGCATCCCGTGTCCTCTGGCCTCTGTGATCTGAATGAGTGTGCGGTTTCCATCCATTCATCCCCCCCCATCTCCATCATGAAAACCAGCCTTCTCTCCAGCCCCTCTCCCGAGGGAGCCCGAGAGAAGCTGCGCCAGGCCTTTTAATTTTCTCACTCATCTTCCCACGCCACATTCCCTTTAGTTTCACTCTGGCATTCGCTCTTCATTCATCGTTGCTACATCCAAGGGGCTCGCGAGTTCCCACGAGGAGCCAAGAAATAAAGGAACCCAGCCCTGCAGCCAGGGAAACTCTCAGTCCCCTTCCTGCCAGCAGCAGTGTGCCTGGACTGTCCCCTGGGGACCTTCAGGATGAGAACCTGTGCAACTTAACAAGCACCGATGAGTCCAGGGTCCCTTCAATAAGAAAAAGAAAAGAACCCAAAGTGGGGACAGTTTTGTTCATTTCTCTTTCTTCCCAACACTTGAACACCTCCTTTACTCTGGGGGGATCTGCAGAGACTGTGTCCCACCCTCATCCCAAGTGGTAGCCTGCCCATCTATCTGAGTGACAGGAAAACTCTGGAGGGAGAGTCTTTTTACCTGTTTGGAAGTTGGGTTTCAAGACGAGACTGCTTGTTTCTAGCCATGCAGAACTAGGTAGTTAGGTCGGAGAGCTTTGACAGCCTGTGGCCAGGCCACCAGATGGAGCCGCAGGTGGTCAGGGGAGATGTGGGTGGTGTGACAGCAGCAAATGGTCCCTGCTGTGCCTTGATGTGGCCTTGGGGAGCTTTGGTGCATAGACAGGGGGTCCCCCCCAGAGGTTCAATCTGTGGAGGACGCTGTGGCCACACACCCCTCTAATCTGAAAAGTAGTGAGATTCTTTTTTAAGAGCATGATTCTACCTAAAGCCATAAGTGGGCTCTTTTTTCATTTTTTTCCTTTTTTTAATATAAGAGGAGAAGAGATGCTAACAGATGAGATTTCACTGGCTGATTCGTTTGTTTCAGATGCTTGAACGGATGCTTTAGCGTTTTCTGCCTGAGCTACGGCACCAAGCTGGTTAGTCGGAAGGCGTGGTGGCTAAGGCCTTGAAAGGGCAGACTCTCACGTGGGCTAATTTCTACTGACACAGCATTTCAGGAGAAATGCAGGCGAGCGCAACCCCAAGGCCCCGGGGAGACCCCTTCCAAGCAAGGCACTCCTCCAAAAGGCAGAAGCGGGGCCCTGGCTCATCTGCGGGGCCACGGCTGCCTGTCGCGGACGCTGCTCACGGTGGCTCCTTTTCATGGAAGGGAACGTACAAGTTTTAACAGTTGCCCTTCCAAGCAGAGACTCAGAGAAAGGGAAAGAGAGAGAAAGAGAGAGCAAAGGACAGGGGCAGCCGCCCCACAGAGAAATGAAATGAACACAACTTCCTGATGCTGGCCAGTAAAAAAAAAAAAAAAAAAAAAAAAAATTTATAATAAAACAATTAAGCAGACCTGCCTAAGGTGGGCAGCTGACTCTGTTCCAAAGTCCTGCATCCCTAGTTTGCCCGAACTCCCAAAGACTGGCAGGCCCCTTGGCGCTGAGCTGACAGAGTTCCTTTTCTATTGCCAGTACGTCATGACCTCCTGACCACCCAACCCTGCTCGCTGCGGTGACCCAACCCAGAATGCAGTGAGAAGTGGACAGGCCAGGAAGCTCAGAGACACCCATTGAAACTAACACATACACCYGCATGCCCAAACCAATCCAGGCAACACCTCAGGGTCCATCTAACGTGTCCGCGGGAAATGCCACCACACCCAACCTCATCTAACATTGTCCGTCTTTAATTCGCGCTCAGAGCCAGTCTGGGGATGCCTCTTTGGAAGCAGTGTGGTCTAGTTTCAAGGACACCGGGAGTCAGGGAACCTGGGTTCTAGTCCCAGCTCCAGCGTTCACTTGCTGCGTGACCTTGGGCAAGACACTTAACCTCTCTGTGCCTCAGTTTCCCCATCTGTAAAATGGGGGTAATAATGTCGACCTACCTCACAGGGCTGTTGTGAGGAATAGCTAAGTGATTGTAAAGCATTTTGAACGTATAATTGCTTATTATTAAGACTTCAACAATAATAATATC